ACCCCAACCAGAGCTGTTTCTGCATTTGAGAGACATCCTGTGGCCATTGCAGACACTGCAGCGTCCCTCTGCAGCTCGCCTTGCCTGCAGAAGGGACTGTCCACCCATCCACCCCTGGTCCTGCCGGGCAGCCCCCAGCGTTCCAGCGGGTACCCCACACACCACCAGCCCCTGCTCCTGCTCCTCTGGGCACCAGACACAGGACAATTGTAACAACGCCTCCAGGCTCCCGTCAGGCGGTGCTTTTCCCATCTATGTGGAAACACGTGTGAAAGCACTTCATTTCATGCCTTTTGGTTAGGTAAGCCAGGGGGAGGAAATAATTCCATGCTTAGAAACTGCTGTTTGTTGCTGGTTACAGCACTCACACAGGACTTTACCTCAAGACAGGCAAATGATTGAAAACTGTTTGATTGTAACACCAGCAGCATTTTACTTTCTGATTTTGCAACCCCGTGTGTTTCAATAGAATTCTTTTCATGGAGAGGTACTTTGTTATCTGATTTTATTTGCCCAATACATTCAGCGTGATCAGCAATTACAAGGAAACACAAACTGTGCGAATATTTTGGTTTTATGGCCTGAATTTTGTAAGGATGTTAAACAGTAACATAAGGGTATTAATGGAATGAGAACTGCAACATTTCTATGCCTTGAAATTCCATGTTGTGGTTCCCACAGCAACTATAACCATGGCCACTCTGCATGGATTTTACATCTGAGTCGGAATACTTGGTTTCAAGTCCTCAACACACGTAAGCAAAAACCAAGCAAAAGCATTTTTTTCCCCTGCAATTCTTACCTGCCAAGTCACAACTACTACAAGGTGTTAATGGCACTTGTAGGTGAAGGTGAACTCCCCAACAACTAACAATTAATGCCCTGAATTTGCCTTCTCTGCACAGATACTCACAGGATTCATAGCGTTGGTATTGACACCCTTCTGTTTTCAGTTATTGCTGGAACAAGAGCCCACTGTTTGTACCGAAGGGTAAAACATTCTTAGAAGGCTAAAAGTTAAGGGTCTTTCAAATTCTCTTGCTTCAAACTGTTTCAGCTTCAGAAGCACTGAGTGGTGAAGACTGTTCCTCCACGGTTTTGCTCGTTTTATCCAGCCCCTCTGCTTGGAGGCAGTACCCAGCAGTGCACTAAGAAGAGAATGGCAGAAACAGGAGCATGAAGACTATGAACTTCTCTGAGTAAGTTTACTGGTTTGCCCTTTTCTGCTCTTAATTTTGCCAGAAGTAAGGAGCACACACACACAGAGCAATTACTCTATCCGCCTTTTTCTTGCTTTTCTCTAAGCATTTACTGCTGTTGTAACGCAGGACTCTGATCAACTTCTAAAAATTCTTATTAACTGCACTAGGTTGAGCCTCATCCAAAGCTCATGTCCCCTCCTGCTGGATAACAGTTTATTCTCTGAGGCAATGGAGTAAAATGTCAGTGGTGAAATCAGTGAAACACCTAACTGCTACTGGAGGGAAAAACTCCAGTCAAAGGTGGAATTTTCACAACCACACTTGGTCAGATTGTCAGATCAGGGGTTTAACAGGCAGCACCAGTGATCTGTAATAACATAAGCCTGTCTGTACTGGAAAGCTCCAGGGCTTTTCTATGAAAACTTACAGAAATGAGGGTGTATGTACAGTTGCAAGTCTACATGTTTAATATTAAATGTTAATTTACAGCGGTATCAGCTTTCCAAATCCATATTTATTCTTGAAGATTTGCACTGTAAATTAGAAACAAAATTCACATTAGTATGACACCCCCCCCCCCAGCAGAAATACCATCTACTACGAAATTCTCTAAATATTTAACTCTTTAGGTTACTAAGAAAAGATGTGGTCTTGGATAGCTGATAACAGATTGTACAGCAAGAAACACCCAACCAGGCCATCCCTGAAACACAGAGTGACACCAGTTCACAGAGGCCTCTGCCCATACCCAGGGAGGTACCCGAGCCCTTCAGGCACAGAGACCACCCCAACCATGCAGATTTTAACTCAAAGAGGCCATGTACAAACTGCTGCTCCAGACCAGGGCTTACAGAGAAAATGGCTCTGGGTTGGCTGCAGTCCTAATTAAATTGCAATCCACAGCACGGTCTATGACACAGCAGCTGTGGGAAATACTGATTAAAAGCCTCTACACATTATCCCAGCGGACCCATGTATAGCTGAGCTTTTAAATGAACTGGAGAGATCTCTATTTAAATTCCAAATCTGCTACAATCTTTCCATATGACTAGAAGGACTCCTGAACCTCGCATTTAATTTCTGCAACATAAACATATGGATCCTAATTTCATGTATTTAAAAAAAAAAATCTAATTTACCTTGACATGAAATGCTGTAATTAAAAAACTAGGATACAGTATCTCACTATACGTTATCTTGAAACCTCACTGTAATACAAAAGAAAGAGGTTAACCGTGCCCAAATTTGTACTAAAAATCTTTGAACTCACAAAGATTGGACCAGATGCTGTATCTTGAGTAGAAATAGAGTGCAAAACACTTAGACAACAGGACTAACTGTTCCTCTCTCTACTTCTTCTCAACATGGTCGAGGACCTCAGACCTTGTCAAGAGGTCAAACAGACTGAAGTGCTTTATAAACCCAAGCACAGGGAAGGTTTGCATAAGAAAAAGGGTATCTCGACTTGTTTGTTCATGCTCAGTGTTCAGGTATTTATATTATGTATGTATCTTTAAACACTTTTATTTAATGCAATAAACTCCTGCAACCCAAACTGTAAGACATCTTCCTCTGCCAGACCCAGCAATCAAAAGACACCCTTAGAGCTGGATGACACGGGTTTCAGCGATGCAAACCTCTAGTCAGGAGCCCATTACAAACACCCCCCATCACCACTTGGACCACACATTCCAGGGCAACAGTCATGTCATTACATAAAAACACTTCTTGGTTGCTATTCGTGTGTCCCAAAACACCCAGGCCTCCTGCTACCTCCTCACCACACAATGACCTCTGATTATTTTTAAAACCTGCCTTTTAAGGAGAGAAAAACCAGATGTGGTTCTGCAGAGTCCTACCAGCGGCAGTGCCTGCAAACTTACACAGATTCCCAGGGAATATGAACAGGTGAAAGGCCTGTGTTTGGGAAGCAGTTCGTCTTTGGTTTGGAGAGCTGAAGAAAGCACTTTTCCTTCCCAGGCAACTCCCAGAGGCTGGAACACCAAGCATGCAGTGTGCTAAAGAAACAAGGGTATATTCTTGCAACTCGGTAATTTCACAAGGCATTTGGGAAGGAAGCTGTTAAAAATCTGTTTCTGATTATAATCAGTGATTTTTTTTAATACCTCAAATAAAGATTTACCCTGAAAGAACCTTTTGAGAACACTTTAAGAAAAAAATACCGAAGTACAAACTTTAAATATCCAAAGAATGATAGTGGTGCACTTTTTTTCAGAAACACTTACATACTTAACAGGTGAAGTAGGAAGAGAGTATTTCAGAAAACATTTAATATGAAACCTTTTGGAACTTCCATCGAATACAGATTTACATCATTTATCAGAACACTTTTTCAGTTCAGACAACAAAGTGCACTGCCGGGTGAAAAAAATACATTTGGAGGAGTGCTTAAAACGTAGGAAGTGAAAGGATAGGTGACCATTCACCTGAGAAAGTACAATGACTGCCCTGAAATGTCTTATTGCTATTACAAAATGGAGTTTTCATGGAAAAAACCATACTGAGCAGCACAGGCACGGGCAGAGCACTGAAAGCCAACTGAACTCCGGTAGCACCTGGAGTTCTCAAGCCATGGCATGATACAGAATATACAGAGAATAAAATGTAAATTCAGGAATATTTACTACATTTAACAACTATGATTACCCTTTAAACTAGCATAATCAATATCAATGCTTAGGGGGAAAGAGAGGGGAAGTCTGCTGCCTTCACAGACTACAGATCACAAGAACTAACTTGCAAAATATTAAGTACTTTGCATTTTCACCTCGGGTCAAATCTGAACTGTGTACTATGAGTAACTATTAGCTCACTGCAAATTTAAAATGCAAATTTAGGCTCCAGTTTAAAGCACATGTTAAGTACATGCTTAAGTGCTTCACTGAAATATAACCACAAAACATTAATACAAAAAGTCAAGTAGATAATGCAGGATATTATCTACACAAGTCCTCGATGAAATAAACTGAGTATCAGTAGGAAACAGTGCATGAAGAAATCTCTTCATTCTAGTCTGCAAACTCAGATCCGGCTCACCGCAGAGATGGTTACAACGTGGGGACTATCCCAGAGCAGCTTCACGTCCTACCGAAAGCTAGTTGGCCATCAGAGGGTTCATCAAGGGCGGGTTTCCACATTGCACTTTAGCAGAGGATTCTCTCGGCAGCAGGAGCCAGAGACACAGCTGGCACAGAGCCATCAAAAGCAATACACCCGGAGCCAAGGGGAAGCACGCTGGAAGGGAGCTGCAAGGAGAAGTTTTTACTGCTACTGCCTATGGCTGTAGTTCAGCAAGTTGGGACATCACAACACAGGAGATCAGTGGCCAATTTGATTCCCACTTTTGGGTTTCAATGCTGTGTGCGCCCAGGACGAAGGGACAGCACTGCCCTACCTGCAGCGAGACCTCAGAGCGGCACCGACTGGGATATGGCAGCTTGCAGTGAAGTACGGCCTTTATTTGAGAGTCCCTTTGTGCTTTGTATCAGTCTGACCTAGTCTAACTGGAAAACTTGCTCTGAAAGAAAGTAACTAGTCAGCAATTAGCACCTCCTTTTAGACTGCCCCGTTCCCTAGGGGAACGGTGGAACAACAGAGAAGTGTTCTTAGCTGCGATCAATACCCATAAGCCAAAAGGACAAAGATACAATTTTAGTAGCTTAGCAGAAGCAGAAGAATGGAAGTGTTTACCCAAATATTAATGCACAAATTAACTACATTATTAAAATTTGATTCAGACTTAAATAATAAATAGGTGGGCAAAATATAATGCAAGACTTACTCAGTAAAAGTGAATTTTTAATAATCTCATGAGATCTACTTAGAAAACAGGACTAATCATGTTCACAACCGTAAATCCAAACCCTTCACACACTTTTTTTTTTTTTTTTCCTTAACACAGCAGTGAACTGTAAACCTGCATTTACTGGTTATCGCTTCAATCATTTTAAATATTAACTCAAGTGTTTCCTCCTTGGCCATTTCAATTTTTAGCACCAAAATTAGCCCAAAAAGAGGTACTGGTACAGCTCGATGTCGTAAATGAATTGTTAACATAGAATACTTTATATATTACACACATACTGTACATTCACACATCCACACAAACAGGAGGCATATTTAAATGAATATATTCTGTGTTTCAATTTGTTGTCAAAGAGCAATGGAAATAAAGCAGAAGGGGTAATATTTTACATAGTAGGCAACTTTAATGCTGTAGTGCACTTATAAAAAAGTCCAACTCTCCCTCCCAGCTCAGCAGCTTTTTTTTTAATATCACTATTCAGAAGGATGCAGAAGTTATTGCCTAAATGTTATTCTATACATTTCCATCGGAATTCTCAAAAACACTTGAAATTGCTAACTAATTTACAACTTAACTATTTTTCTTGTTACAGCTTTAATTCATTGGCAATTTTGGAAGCAATGTTTTTGAAAGCTATGGATGTTCCCGATATCCGCTTAAAGCGAACTCCATTCAGGGACAGTCTTGGCAGTTTACACACCTCCATCTCCCACTGTACAAGGTTTTCCGCATGCCCATCTCCATGGACACAGAAAAGCAAGAAACGCTCTCTTTGTTCATAGTCACAATTATTGGCATCCAGGACCTTTCGTATTTCCCTCATCATGTCATTGGGATCCATGGAGCTGGTGGTTTTCATGCTCCAGGTAAAACGTAGCGACCGAGGCTTGGCTTCCTTGTTCTCATCCTTCTGATCCACAGCTACATTGCGGCTGAAAGACAGGAATTTATGAGTGAGCAGGGCCGGCCACCTCCCCCACGGGTCACATTAGTGAAAGCAAACTAACACTCAACACACACTACTGGTATTAGAGCAGCATCTGGAGGCTCCAGCTCCCAGCCAAGCCCCACTTTCCCAGCTGCCTGTACACACACAGTCAGGGTAAAGCATTAGCTGCTGGGGTTGAAACCAAGGTTTGGCACGATGTGTGACAACTGAAAGTCACTGGATTCAGGAGTATGAGGGGGAATGACCTTCTGGAGGCAGAATTACATGCATCACCCATGACTTGATTTTAAGGCAGGTTCTGCTCAAAACCCTATTCTCGGGCCACGTGGACAGCTGAAACATCAGCTCTGTCCTAGAAGTTTCTGGAACATTCAAACAACAGCTACTTGTGACAAAAGGGTGCTCAGGGAGTGCCAGTGCCAGGGTGAGCCCATGCAGAAAAGTGCTGGGGGTTTCTCTACACCTCCTCCTGTGCAGCAGCTTGGAGACCAAGCACTGGGAGGGCCCAGGGAGTCCCACAATAGTTGGCTGGAAGCAGGAGGAAGGACGGCAGGACCAGAGGCACCCACCTGCTGCCCCAGGGTCAACATGCACTCCCAGATTTGGACTGGTTCAGTTACACTCTGACCTTCCTGTGCTGGTGTGTTTGAGATGATCCCTAGAGACCCACACACTGCAGGACACTGGGGTTGCCTTCAGTGGTGAGGAGATGCTTCATCTGAAGTTGGTCAATAATTTCTTAAATAACAACGACTGACAGAGGTAAAGTGATGGAATCTTTTGTGGCTACAAGCTCTGCAGTGAAGTGCCTCTGAGGCTGATGTGCAGGAGGAAGAGTTGGAAATCACTACTGGACACCTCGATGTTGTTTGAAAAGATGGTGACAGTTTTAAGAGATGAAGCAAAAAATATTGATTCTGTGCTTCCCAAGTCTGCAATCTTTTTTTTTTTAATAAAAAAGCTTTTCCTTTGGTAAGGATAAAAGAAAGAAACAGGACAAAAGAAAGAAACGTTCCAGAAATTTCTAGTTTACAATCATTCTTCTACCTTAAATTAAAATCAGTGGTCATGCAGCTAAAGAATAAGGAACTACATCTGGACCTCCAGGGAAAAAATACAGATTTGCTCTGTGAATATTTGTACACTGTCAGTTGCCTCTTCGAATTTAAATAAACTGACTGTCATACTTAACTATTTCCTGAAAACAGCTAACCTAACTGACCCCAAACCATGCAGCTGAAGGCTCATGTTGAGCCTCCAAGTTCAATTTACAATATTAAGGCAAGCTGCTCTTTATAATAGTTGGCAATGAAATTCTGGTTACACAGTGTTTTTCTTCTAATACCATTAAGCAGGCAATTATGAAAAAGTTAAATAAAAAGTGATAGCAAGGCCACAATTAAATACATATACTTCTTAAAGATAACATCTTTCATAATTTTTCTTCTATCAAAAGACTTCCAGTGACTCTGAGAGTCATAGGAGTACGCTGTCAAATCCAGCTCTGTGATTTGCCAGATGTTACAAAATTCATCAAGCAAATTAAAGAGTATTTTGTTTTAAGGTTTTAACTTAATAAGGCTGTAAGGGGCCAGGGGAAAACCCAACTTTTATTCACTGCTAATTTAATTTTTGAAAGCTTTTTCTACTTGAAAATCAGCAGTTGGCAAAACCAGCACAAGTTCAATAATTTCTAGTATTTTTTCATATGCTGATTTTGGACGAAGAGTAAAACGTGAAAAATATTTAACTATCTGTGATTTTAGAGATGAGAATTATCTTGCCACCTTTCAGTGGTTATTCCACACATTTGCAGCCTCACTAGAGACCACTTATCTAGACATCTACACAACAACAGCAAATTACAATGACTAAAATGCAATAAAAAAAAAAAAAAAAAAAAAAAAAAAAAAAAAAAAAAAAAAAAAAAAAAAAAAAACAAACAAACCCACACATGGGAAAAGGAAACAGGAAAGATGAAAGTTTAGAACCAAGTCAGTCAGTGCTTTAATAGCTGTTTTGCAGACAGAAATGCTTCTTTGTTTAGTTTTAATGACTTAACACGAAACACAAGCTGCTGCCTGAAGCCACTATGCCACATAATCAAGGGGAGAAAGGTTCAAACTCACCTAAATAACATTTTAAACAAAAATTTTACCCTCACCTTGAGCCCTCAAATCTCCCGTTCCTCTCATATTCAGTCGGGAGCCTCATTGAAAAGAATGCAGAAGCAAAAGGAAGTGGGAAAGAGAAGACAAATCTTACACTACAATATACAATATCTGAGTAGTTGCTAAAAGATACTGCAATCATACAAAAGGTGTGTTAAAATACAAATCAACAAAGATGTAAAGAACTTTGTAGGTTAGGTCAAACTCAGAATATAACATCTTGTCAAACCAAATGGGAGCCTATGAACTACAGTTTTTAAAACTACCAAAACTAATTTTAACAGTGTATGTTTATATATTAAATCTGCAGAACTCACTGAATAAAGTTGAGGTTCTAAAAGCAGAAAATGAGAAACTAAAATTACAAAGCATACTGTAGTGATTGTATTACTCAGTAAGTAACTCCTAAAAGAGAAAAAACTCCTAATTATTTTCAGGCTAAGGAAATTTACAAGTTTTATCTGGGAATAAAATATCTATTTGGAAAAAAACCCCTATTTACAGACAAGTCTGATCGCCCTGTGTATTTGCATGCACATCAGATCTGAGGTGTTTAAACAATACCAAAATACCTTAATGCAAAAGAAGATGCATATACATTTTAACAAAAATGTAAGACATAAATCCAAGATTTCTCAAGTTCTGGTAACTCCATTTTATTAGTTCCCACACTGATGCATCTTCCAAACCCAAGAGCAAGCTTAAGCTTTCTGTCTTCTTGCATTGCTTAAAGTTACATTGCAGATCGCTGCCATTTTTTAAACGCCCAGGATCAAGAAGAACTGAGGGGAAAATTGCCTCCCTCTACCTTCCCATTATTGCAGGAGCATGGTTTGACATATCAGTGTTAATTCTGCTGCCTGTACAATGCTCTTATCAAGACTATCTAAGGTAGTACTTGGCTTACCTGAATAATGCAAATTATCACAGCAGTTTGGCTGACAGGTATCTAGGGATAGGAATCTAAGACAGTAAGCTTATTTTTTGATGCACAGTGGTATTTTTATCAGGTGTGTGGGGTGTTCCAAGGCTTAATTTCCTCCTTTCCTTCCTTTTGAGGGCTGCTGTGAGGGATCAGCCTTGTAAGATGACTGACAATTGGAAAGTCCTTGGCTAATTCTAGAGTTTCAAAGTGGGCAGCTATTGTAGTTATTGTAGTTATTTTCAAGGGAAGGTGGAAAAAGATTTTTCATGTCTGTATACCCAAGAATTCATCCCCTACAGCAACTCTACAGGACAGGAAAAGGGGTAGGTAGGAAAGAACCATCACATGTACCAACTGAACAGACCCACACCTTTCAAATGATTGTTTTACTGGGCAAAGCAATCAAGTTAGAAAACACTGCTCAAGTGGAAAATTGGGGGTACTTGAACTTTAAAGAGCCTCCTCTGTTCCTACAAAGTGGAAGATGGCAGCTTTGTTTAAGAGCTGCAAACATTTATGGATTTTGGGGGGGTTTTTTTTGTGTTTTGCTCTGAAACTCGCCGATGGTTATAGAAAACAGGAGTATAACCAGTTTCCCCAACAATGAATGGTCTTACTGTTACTGGAATCTGTCCAGAGAAGTCTGTAAGGAAAAATCCCTAATGATGTTCTGACACCCTTTTCAGGTTGAAATTAAGCCAGATTGCTCAGTTTGTCAACCACTGTACTTTAAATCTAAGAAAGGTGATTATTTATAATACACCTGCCACTTTGACATAATAAACACCCTTTCATGGAAGCCTCTCAGAAAATCCTGACTTTGTTCAGTTTTTCCATCCATCAGTGTTCCATTCACTGAGCATGAGCAACTGCATTCAGTGACACGCACCCTCCAATATGAGCTCTGGATGATGCCAAGCTCTGGAGAGCTGTGCCAGTCTCTCCTTCCTTCACTATGGACACAGTTACAGTCCAGTTCTACAGCCCAGCAATGATGCTTTGGGAACAGTCACTTACTGTACTGTTAGTATTGTTTCCATGGGTCTGTGAGTGAGATGCAGCCCTGAGGCCTCCTCACTGCTAATACAATCTTCACAACTGTGTTAGTTTGTGTTCTAAATTTTCTGCTTTCGCTTGTGTTTTCACATAAATTGATTTTATGGACCAAGATGCTCCTTTGGTCTCAAGACTGGAACAAATACATGAGCAAGTTGTGTTCTCATTTGTCATGCAATACCTACACATTATCTCCCTTATGGTTTGTGAAAGGCTTTCACAAATCAGACTGGTTCCACACATCTGTCCTGAGTTATGCTGTGTTTCCTGTTCTTTACATCTTTGTATACTCAGTTTTAAAAATCCAAATAAATACAAAGAAAACTGTCTACAGAAAACCAACAAGAAGTGCAAGATGATAAAATAAGATCAGTTTATGAAAATGGAGAAATGATGCCGCAATAAAATCCAAAACATTGAGTCATTTTGCTGTCAGAAAAAAAGTTAGACTTCCACAATATGCAGATTGGCAATGACAGTGCATAGTACAAGATATACATACATATACATATATATATATATATGTATCTGTGTACTGAATACAATAATAAAACTCAGTTTAACAACAAATGACTGATTATCTACTTTTATTCAGTTTCCTAGAACTGATGATGTGGCACTATGTATATGTGCTAGTCGGTTACAGTAGTTCTTTCAGTATCAAATGCAGTGATCCTAGGAAAGAGCCATAGCACATACAGTAAGAAAAAAATTGGCAAAAACCCCCAAATTTTCAGGTTTTGTACCTGCATACAGATCAGGTATGGAGGGACACCATGCCCACTTAAAACAGAATTTAAAAAGCACAGTCTGGTCTTATGTAGGTGGTGTAAGACTTGGCAAATCTCTTATTCAAAGACATAATCATAGAAGCTGTATCATGCAGCTATTTCCACACTGGTCTAAGACTCCTGGCCTCCAGTCAAAGGAAATTTTTTTTAAAGTTATCTAAAAATTACCTTGAGTCTCAAATTTGAACAGTAACCTTCTAGTTTAAAAGTGTAGTCATATTAGCATTTCCCAGCTTTCTTTGGAGCAGCAGCATAACTAACTTAGATGCATCCAGTTGTGGAGAGTTGCACAGATCGCAATCCTCTGTTTTAAAAGCAACGTGACTACAGAGAGAGACAAAAGCTCTCGCTAACAAAGTGGTTTGCACCCCACAGCTCATGATGCACGACGAGGTAAAACCATTGCACTGTTCAGTTTCGTCTGTGTGCTGTGTTGGATGGTTTCTTTCCTTAACTAACAGTTGTTCCATGTTCCCTTTCCTCAAGTCAGCTGTGACAATGTCAACCAACCCAACCAACTTTAAACACAGTCATATTTGGAAGAGCACTGATTATTATTACTATGGCATGGAATTTAGTCATTTAATCAGATAGGGTACCTTTAGCCTCAGAGTATACATTAAAAATCCAAATTTAGGCAGTAATTTACACATCTCAGGCCTCCCTCTAAGTATTTCCTTCTCAAACTTCAAGTTACAGTCACATGCATAGCTCTGTATTTTGAAAGTTAAAACAGATATCTGGTTTTTGGCCCCATTTCCCTGCTTTTGATCAGTAGTAGGAAATTAGAAGTACTACCCTTTAAGAAGCTCCAAAATACGATACAACTAAACAGGCTATCACAAAATTCTATTGGAAAATTTACCTGAACAGCAAAATTGTGCAACTGACTTTCATGAATCATAATGTATTAACAAGATATATAGCAGTCTGATTCATTCCCAGGTTGCAAAACTAAATTAAATCCTTTGGACTTGAAATGTGATTCAGACTTTTGGGCTTTTCCCTTTTGTTAATAAATTTGCATAAAAGTATTTTTTGTTTAGAACTGAAGTGCTCTCTTTGCACTTCAGCTGCAATTCACTTCAGCGAATGCACCCCATTTTAAAACAAATACACAGCCATTGCATCTTCATTCAATCTTCCACACAAAACCGTTCAATTCACAACAGTGCTCAGTTTGCTTCCTATTGTATCAACTGCAGACAACACTTCAAATCCTATTTTTTCTTAAATATCATAAAACAAAGAGATAATGTAAATTTAACATCACTTACCTTTATTTGGTTGTAACCTTATGTTTTGTTTATACTTTCATCATTGTTATCAAACACCTCATTCTTCAAAAATAAGCATGCTAAGTGTATTAGTACAGAGAACAGAATTACTTTGGCACTACCAACTCTATCAAAGAAAGAAGAATTCACAAGGCATGCTTAGCATCTTGTTATACAGGTGCCACAGATTCTTAAGTATCATCATGAGTTAATGGATTTATTCTATGCTTTCCTCTGAAGAAAGAAAGTATTTAGTTCTCAGCAGGAAATTTAGTTTTCAGAAAAACCAAGGCTAGAAAAGCCAAATCTGTTGTTAATTGCAGGAGCCACTTTTTTTTAAATATAAATAAATCCTACCTTTTGATAAACCTGAATGACATGTTTCTAAAAGAAATTAAGCCAAAATAATGATTAACAAAAAATGTTGTACAAAATAAATTGAAAAAGGCATTTAGAGTGAAGCATGCAAAAAAATCTCATTTTAAACGCACAATTAAATTACACTTCAATACATTCTCAGATTAGGCAGATGATTTAAGGTCTGAAGAGTCAAACTCTTGGCACTGCTACTTCCAAATTTTTCAGGGAAATATGTCACCAGTACTTATTATGAATTTATGTATTATGAAAATATGTACTGGTGTCAAAACACTTTAAAACTCAAAATCTGCAAGGTCACATAAAAATATGTTTGGATTTTCTTCATATATTTCCCATAGAAACAAAAATCAGTAACTCTACAGCATCTAGATCTTGATTATCTTCAGAGTTAGGTTTCTTCCTTCCTTTATAACACCAGGTCAGCCATGTTGTGCCTAAAACTGCTTTAAATATTTAGCTAATTTAGTGGCACAAGCTGTAACTGCCTACACAGAATATAAGTAGTTCATAATCAAAAGAATTCTGATTACCCATAGAGAACGCTAGAGTAAACTAACAAGTTTTAATGCTTAAAAAATTACCTAAAGAGAAGAAACATAACCCTGTCCTTTGATTGGCACTATCCACCTCCTTAGTAGTCTGCACAGCACCAAGTATAACAGAGCCCCAGCTGTAGGAGGTCCTCCAAGTGCAAACTAACCATCTGTAACAGTGCTATTGTGTTACAACTGCATGTTATTTAATCAAGTCCAGATGGAATTCAAACTACTGTCAAAAGTCGTGTGGAAAAACTTCTTCAAGAAAACCACACTGCACTGCAAAAGCTGAAACTCAGAGGTAATGATAGAAGTTTGAATGCTGCCTAAACAACTGAGTGAAAAGTTTGCATGTTCACAGTTTGAGTGTCCACATTTGGAATGTCAAATGGAAAATTAAGTAAGGCTATTACAAACAAAACTACAGAAGGAAAGAAGTGCCAAAAGGATGTGTCTGATTAAGACTTCACTTGATATAAAGCAGGTTACTTAACTATTAAAAATATTCAAATAAAGCTTCTCTCTCTCAGCAGAAAAAGAAGGTGAAAAAACCCAAACCCAACTTCCTAAAGCATAGGATTTCCCAGGGAAGTGATACCTGGCAGGAAACTGAACAGATTAAAGCACTTACTGGACTGTCATGTTTTTGTTCTTTGCAGAAACAATTTCTAAATTTTTAAAGAAATTCACTCTTAACTGAAATCACCCATTTGTGAAAACCTGGAGTTTGGCTTAGCATTATTGCAGGAATGGGAGACTACAAAGAGGGTACTGAGAGGGAGTCATCTATAGTCATAAAACACACAGGAAGGAAATGGCTTGGTGCTGATGTGGTATAAGCCTAAAACAAAAGCTAGCAGGCCAAGATCTGAATAATATTGACCAAAAAACTTCACATCATGAGGAGGGTACAAAATTTTGGTGATTATCTTAAAGCAAAGACAAACAAGCCCTTAGTTCTACAAACACAAGTTGTAGATATAAGAGTAGTATGTGAACTGGTGGGTTTTGAATACAGAAGTAAAAAAAGTGGGTTTAATTTTGGGTTTGTAGGAATCAATTTAAATCATATATGGATTTGGAATTAGAAGTCCAATTAGAATATAAACTGTTAGCACAGGGGCAACACCTGCTTAAGCGAGGCTTTGGCTACAGCAAAACACCTTTACACCAAACCCAGAATCTCCACATGAACTAAAGGTCAAAACAGGAGTAGGTTTTCAAGGTTTGACCAGACTTCTGCCTAGACTGAAACCCTAGTACTGCCAATTTTAAAATGGCCTATGATAGCACTACTGCCAGCAGAAGCTTTTGTCTCCTGCTGCTACCCTTTCACCTGTAATATTTCTGTTTGTGTGTTGCCAGCAAGGTTATTCTGGAAACACTGACAGAGTGACTGGGAAACACAGTCTGAGCTTCTAACGCTACATTAAACATTGACACTAGGATCCTAGCTTATGCCATCTACTGATGGACCACACAGTCAGTGAGCAGCTTTTCAACTGAGCTGAAATGTTTCATCTCTGCAGCATTCATGGCATGAGGCTGAAGAGCACAAAAGACACAGCACAGACCAAACTTTTTAAATCCCATTTGATTCAGCTGCTAAAAACAAATGGCTTCTGTAATAAAAAAATAGAACTAGAAAAAAATCATAAGCAAGTGCATTTTAAGTTGCAGAAATTCAGCGCCTTATCAGAGAATGTGGACAAAACCACCTAAGCATTGAGCTACTAGGAATTTCTACTATAAAAACAAAGGGAAGATAAAAAAAGAGGGAATGTTGCACTGCTGTTTTATGAGGCTTACCTTCTTGTTAGTTTTGAAGTTAGTTTACTAAACAGATTAGTGGAGCCCCTGGTTCGAGTCTGTGAGAGTGGTGTCGCCTCGTGGGACAGACTGGGGGAGGCGGGTGGCCCGTTGTAGGTCGCGGTGCGCCGCTCTCGGAGCTGGCCGTGGAACGTGCTCCGACTGGCCGTTCCTCTGGGGAAACGAATACGATCAGGTGTGGTTGCACTGCTAATGCTGTGAGTTGAAGCAACGGGAGTTCTTTGATCGGGAATAGTGCTAGGGCAGAAAATAAGAAAACAATGCTAGAACGTCCTTACAGAAGCACTACGGCTCAGCAGGAGACACAAAACACTACGTTCTACAGTAAAGCATAAGCAGACACTTTTATATAGGCCAGGGTTGGAAATACCAACATTATTACAGCACTGTATGGAATCAAAACTCGTAAGAAGTTAGGATTAAAAGGCTGCCGAAACAGAAACCCACATAGGCAGAAAAGTGCAACAGGAGTATCCTGGAAAAGACCAGATCAACCAGGCATACAACGTTTCACTGAGAAGACTGATAAAAGAATAGACCAGTAAAAGTTTCCTCCCAGGAAAGAGAAGCAATAGGTAACTTTAATGTCTCTCCCTCCACATTCTGTATATACATACATCTTTGAAAGTCTTGCTAATTTGAAAGTATCCTACACAAAATTCTCTACAAGCAAACCGCTCCAAGTAGTGAAGTCCTTCAGGATACACAGTTAAAGTCTCCCACAAACTTTGACAATAGGGAATGTCCAATATTCCTAACAATAGGAAAAAAATTAAGGTTCACTATTGCAGGATTATGTCACAGACAGCCTGACACACCACAAGACAAATGTAAACAAGACTAAAAAAATGAGGAAACACACATCTTGTGGGCAATATATACTAGAACAATCTAGGACTAAAATTCCACAGCACAAAGTTAAGAAGCAGTGGGTATAAGTTAGTTTCACAACGATTTCAGGTTCTTACATAGGCCTGAAGTTATCTGCGCCATTGTCTATTGGAGGCAACATCATCTTCGTGTGCACAGAGGCTGACATGGACATCGACTTCTGATGTCGCAGCCGAACACTGGAGAAGGATGTAGTACAAACTGAAGCAGGGCTAGCTGCGTAAGCGAACATTTCTGTCAGGCTGCGAGGGGGTTTGGGTTCAGGCAGAGGCAGAAAGAAGAGCATGATGGACCAACAACAAACTACTGCATAGAAAAAAAAAAGCAAACTTTTCCTTCTATTAACTGGTTTATCAAAGAACACCAACTCTAACAGCCCTCTTCTACGTAAACAGCAGTAACTACCCTACACTTCCCTTAAAAAGCATCTTTACTATAGCACTTGACATCTATGAAGTGACCATGCTCTTACCATTAGCGTTAGTTTGCAGTGACACCCTCCTTGATGTACAGAACCTGAATAACTCAGAATTCTGAGCCAAAGCACCGATGTGACTTGTATTGGTCTTAACAGTAAACAATGCATTAAAACCCCACCAAATGCGCTTTCCAAAAGACTGATGTTAGCTCCATTACTGCACTGAAATCCTTTGTTTTCAGAATGTATCCGTGTTAAAAAGAAATCAGTGTAAGGTGGGCAAGCTGTCAAATCTACATCTGATAACTGAGGGACTTCACAGGTACAACTGAAACCAAAAACATAATGATCTTTAATAACTCCAGAGAGGCCAAATGGAAAAGGCTACTAGTGATCATCAACCTGTACATGGAGTAGGCAATGAATACACCTGTTTTTGCCTGAAGAGAGAGATGTGACTGTTGAAAAGCATCACATATTGCTTGGCCACAAACATTAAATTCTCCCAATTACCATTCAGGCTTTGAAGGAAGATATATACAGCACTGTCTTAGCAGAATGGCCAGTAAGCTGCCAGCTGTACAATAGGATAAAATAGGGGCATGAAATATTTTTCCTTCTTTGGGTCAAAATAATCTTTGCAGCCTTCACCTTGTCTAGCAACGATAAGGATAGGAGAAAAGTGAGAGGTCACAAGATATTTTGGGCCTTTCAGACCACACTACCATATGTCATTCATCTGAAGTTTGCTTTAAAAGTAAGGCAACTGTAATTCAGAAATATTGCTCGAGGTTAAGGAATCAGTAATTGTCAGTGACAGTTTCATGACACTGCATGTTCACTTACAAGTTACTTCATGGTGACATGCACTGAAACTCGAGTCCCATTGTCTAACTGTGATATGTCAGACTTTGGAGAGGCGAATGCTAGTCCAGCTACAAGTGTCAGCTGACCCACTTCTCAGGCTCAGCTCCCAAAGCACTGGCACAAAACACCACACAGCTCACGGCTCACTACGATGGTTAGCAAAATATACTTAGTTTTGGTTTGGTTTTAACTTCTCAGGATCTAGAAAACTTCATGTGAGTCATGCATGCATCTTTTTTGCAATGCTAAATCCATCAGGATGCCAACTACAAGCACTACCTACAATGAAGCCTCCGACACAGCCCAGCATTTAAATTACCCCAGGGTATTAAGAAATTGGAAGAAAATGAACATCTGTCTCAAAACTAATATCCTGAAGTCAAGTAATCCCCAAATAATTGGTCACTAGCCTCTCAAGAACTCCTAGCTCCTTTCCTCTCAATTTGCTGCAAAAGATAGAAAAGAAAGATTCCAAGTTTTATTTAGTCACCTGCCTCCAAAGATGTGACACCTAAAGGTATCAATAAGGGACCAGAGCATATATTAAAACATTTATATTTTTTCCTCTGGTGCTTTTCTAGAAATCAGCTTCCTTGGATTACTAGCCTGGGAACACAGGAACAGGGAGCTAACAATCACCAATTAGTGCCAAGGCTTATTAAAAATCTGAAGCTGTTGTAAATCATTTGTGTTACAAATGATTTAAAGCAATTGCCTATCATTATGAAGAGTGTTTCATGAGTCCCCAAGTGTGTTAATTAATGCTCAGGCTTTGGAGGAAAGCCAAAAGAATCATCTCCAGCAGAATGACTGTGTCAGCCACACAATGTGTTAAAGTAGAGATGTGAGACTTAAAAACTCGTTGCTTCTACCAGTCTGGCATGGGGTTTTCAAAACTACTTTCTCCAACATCAAATGTACTCGCTGACTATCGATTCTTCGGAGTTTCCATACTTTCAGAAATAGTGCCTTCTCAGAATTTAATGTGCAAGATAAAAACAGAACAAGCAACATCTTAACACTTTCTCTATAGAAAAAATAGAGACTTTAAGTGTGTGTATCTTGCCTTTTAGGGTAAGTCTCCCAAGTTTTGACTGGGTCACAGTCAGTATCTGACTGGCTATGGAAAATCTAAAATCCAATCTGTAACAAATCAGTTATAGGAATTACTCCTGCCTGCAACATTTGCCACCAATAGACATTTCAAAAGCACAGAAATAATTTTTAACGAACCCTTGGATTTGTACAAAGCCCAGGTTATACTTCAGATCTTGCTTCATAGAAGAAAAAAAGAACAAGTTTCTAAAGTTAGTTTCTTAGCCAAGCTGAGAGTGCAATACCATTAGAGATTCATTCTGAAGAGCCAGTCCCATCAATAGCCACGCTGATTTAGCCTGCATTAAAGGCCCCTGCATTTCATGTGACCAGTCAATGCTTTACCCAGTTACAGCAACAAAATATATTCAGACATAAATTGTGAATTCTCTGCCAAATCACAGTAATTCTGAAACTGTGCCAAAATGAACATGCAGTTTAGTACTAAAGCATTTCAGACAACGACCGGTCTCCAACTGTAATACAATTAGCAAGGCATTACCATTACCTTTTCTCTTTTTAACCCTCTATGAAGAGCAATGAATGTTGTAATCAAACATACATGACAAAAGCTGTAAGTTATTTTTTTACCTGACAATGAATATATAAAAATACATACAGGCATAAGTTCTCAGACATTTCAAATAACCCAAATAAGGCTAATTTGTAGGAAAAGCAAATTATGTTTAAATATCATTTTGACAATAAAAGGTAAATTACAAAAGCATAACCAATTTGGATATAAAATATTACCGATATAATTGCCAAGTGCTACTCAATGTTAACTTTGAGATTAATGTCCATATATGACAAAGCAGAAAGACATCAGTTTGCTGAGAAACTCGAAGTTGGGGAAAAAAATTAAAAAGACAGCTCCTTATGAGTATGAAGTTATTAATTAAGGGGACATCTCAAGCATTCCTAGTAAACAATACCTAGTAACTTTAAAAAATGTAATAAAGAAATTGCGGACAACATATTACAAAGATATTAGGTTAAGGATGAACAAAAATTATATTAAATAAACAAATCAGGTGATAAAAAATTATCAAAATTCTTTTGGACAGAAAGATTCATTTTTCAAAGAGCATTTGGAAAGAAAAAAGCTATTACCATATCAAACCAAAGAAAGGATAGTGAACTTTATTCTAAGCAAACTTCGTAATATTAACAAGGAGTAACCAGTGAAGGCTGAGACAGACACACTGAGAGACAGTACCAAAGAGCTGTGCTGCACTTCACAAGACAGTTGACTGCAGGCCCAGCTGGCCCAACTAGACTTTTGGCAGTCTTCAAACTTAAACTTGACTTTTTCCTTAATCACTTTCCGTTTGCAGAAAGCTAGGAGGAAGAGACAGGGTCAAAATCACAGTCTTTTTCCCTAGGCTCCAGGAATCAAACAGGGGACAGACCTTCCACTCAGTGTCATAACTTTGCCACTCTTCCTTGCAAACTGCCAAAACGAGAAGGGGGAAAATTTTGTGCAGAAAACGGTGGATCTTTCACCAACTTCAACACAAGTTAGAAAAAAAGGCATTTTCCTCCCACTCTTTGCAAAATATCATAAAATTAGGAAGGGGTGGAGAAAATTGGAAAGAGTAGGAGAGGGGTACACATTCCTCCAAGCTTAAGCATTTTTATTAAGTATCAGCTATCCAGACTCTCTCCTGGCAATGGTCAACTATTTAACTGTTACCAGCTTTTGACAACAGCAAAATTCTGAGAAGAAGGGCTGGAACTTAAAATACCTCTGCCAGCCAGGAAATTTGGTGTTATTCTTCCACACTGTCACCCTATACCTAATATCTACATTCACTATTATATTATTTCTGACAGCTCTTCTCAGTCTTCACAGGATGGCACTAGATGTGACTATGGTGCCAACACATGAAGTGGTTAACTCCAATTCCATTGCATGCTCTAATCAGGTTTTCATTCAGGACAGTAAGAAGAAACTTGTTATTTCTCCAATGTTTTCACTCAGAATATAGAGATAGCTGCTTCCCTCCTCAAGATGAGTTCTGTAAATGCTGGGAAGCAATCAGACTATCAGAGTATGATAGTAAGGAATGCTATCAGTCCAAGACAAATTGCCTATCACTGTTTCATCTTTGCTCAGACAAAAACGTACCTTCTCCCTGAGACTTCATAGCAAAAATGGTATTCAAAATAATCTTAATGAAGCACAGTTTAGAGGGAAATGTAAAAAGAGAATGTCTCAAGAGAGGAGGACTTTGTGGTCTGGCACTAAACAAGCTGCTTCTGCAAGCCAATGCTGTTTGGTCACTGGAGTTCACAACAGATTAAAGATGAAGGCTGTCACAAATATTTCATGTATTTAACCAGAAAACAGAAATTTCCTCTTACATTCTAATTATGAAGAGTATACAGATTAAGTACAGAAAAGAAACCAAACCCCAACATACTTACAGGTGCTCCATAACCAAAGATCTGTACTCACCTTTCATTAAGAATTACATTAGAATATTACTGATTTCTAAATTAGGCATTACAATTTTTTTGGAAATGTGAAGACAAGGGACATACACCATAGGAAGACATTTCATATACCTGTTCTCCTTGCCATTTTGTATCACTGAATGCCTATCAGCAGTGGTTCTTTCACTACAAACATATGTGTTGCGCCGTGTCATTGCTCCAGGGGCAGTATTATTCTACAATTAAAAAACACAGGCTTGTTATTCCCCACAAGATTCTGGGGTTAAGTTGACATAAAATCAAAGGTTGTTTTTACTTAATTCTAGTTCTATACAATTATAAAACTGACAATGACTAAATAAATTAATATATAAACACCATCTACTATTTTTAAAAAATACTGCAATCAGAAAAAATAATTCAAAACAAGTTGCTCTTGTATTTCATAATGATGGCTCAAAATTAATGCTGCTTAAGGTTTTCAAGAACCAATGTTCTGAATTACGAATTCTCAGCATATACAGCATTCATCTACATCTGGATAGCCTGTATATTTATAGCCTATTTTTTAAATACTTTACCACTTGTAGCTTGCAGAATTTTCCATTAAGTTAAAATCATAACCCTTAAACAAGATAGGAAAAGCAAAGACTTAACAAACAAATGTGGTAAAATTCAGTGGGAAGGTAAACATGGACTATTAATTGTTTTAAAACAGGGAAGAATAAGAGACAAGTCGCAGAGAATTTCAGTAAGACATTTTTTAAAAATATACATTTAAATACAAGCATAATACACTGAGGACAAGAGAATCAGGGGAACTTAAACTACAGACCTTACTTTAGAGGGGAGAAAAGAAATAGAATTACTTTGCCTCTGTCTTTACAGAGAAAGAGGGTGGAGATATGCCCAAGTTGGCGGTCAATTTTCCAGGAACGACTGAGAAGCTACAGGCAATTCACAGATAACAGAATTATAAAGAGTTAGATGCAGTTACTGTAGGAAAAGCATGGTGGTCCAGACAAACATGCACCCCTGGGTTGTAGGGGAAGTAAAAGCCGGCAAGCCTTGTATTTTTTTCTCCCCACCCCAAGAACAAAACACAGGAAACTGCATATGGTTGGAAAGTGGAAAAAAACCTTTAAAAGTTTTCTTTAAAGAAAAGGATCACGGGGCAAAGCAGGAAGCAAAATAGGCTATTAACTTTAAACATCACTGCTGGGGAAAGTCTTGGAGGAGGCCAGCTTAAGGGAACGACTGGTCAGCACCTGGATAAGCACATGTTGAGTAAGGATGGCCACCAAGAGTCAGGCAGGGGACTTCATGCTCAACTAACCTTTTGGAGTTCTTTGAAGAATTATGCTATGACAGACAAGGGAAATTCAGCGGATTTTAAAAATAGCATTAAGAAAAGGTTTCGCATAAACGGTCACAGGAGAGAGTCATGGGAAGAAGGATTGAAAAAAAAAGAAAGGAAAAACTAGTTCAAGCACAAAAGGAGAGTAGCCAAACCTTTTTTGTTTCCGAACCTGAAACAAAACTGTTAAAGTGGAGTATTCTCAACAAACAGCAAAAGCTCCTCCAGTGCCTTAAGGCAAAATATTGGCTATCCAAGGGGTCTCAAGCAACAGAATCTCTGAGCTGCAGATTTAATAATGAAGCCGTCTTGTCTAAGAGACATACATTTTTTTTTTTTATGTAAATGTACAAATTAAAATGCAACAGTGAAGTGTGCAGCCTCCTGGTGTTAAAAAGTACAGAGAATATCAACAGTACGTTAGATTAGCAGAACTATTAATTAAATCAGAAGATGGATGTAGCTATCTGAAGGGTTCTCAAGGATTCTTCACTGATGTTCCTTAGGGAAAGGCACGTGCCAAGCATCATAAGTCCTCCTGGCCCTTTCGCTGTACTTTATTCCTTACATACACCTTGTCTTCATATATGTTTAATTATTTGATTATTTGATTATTAACTATTGATTCTTCTACTTCCCCCTGACATTTGTCACTGTGCAAACTTCCCTCTCTTTACTAAAGCTGGTAGCAATGAAAGCTGTGCACCTAAGGTGAAGTTTTGTTTATGTGCTCTTGGGAGATCACGTTGTGATCTATCAAGTGTGCAGGACACTTTGTGGAGGCCTTGCAAACCAATGATACAGTGAAGCATTGCACACTGGCATTTGCAGATCATTTTGTTCTGTGTTCCTTAACACATCAGAGAATGGAGCACCTGGAATATCCAACAGTGGTTTTCTAGTGGGAGATACACACAATAAAGGGTGGCTTCTTTCCACCTGTTCCCTTTGAACATTAAGTATTTGTTTCCCTTGACACCACATAACATTACAATGCACCGTGATGTTGCACATCTAGAAAGACAAGAACAGTAATCCCTGTGCTGGACCAAACCTTAAAGACTATGCATTTTCAGGTCTGGGAGTGGACAAGGTTTGGTTTTCATATCTGAAACTGGAGGACTGTAGGAATGAACTTCTGCTCTTTCTAAAATCTGAAGATGGAAGGATCAGTACACATTTTTTTTCCTGTTTGGCTCAGATTTCAGAGGTCGAGAGGAGAGATTTAAGCCTCTCAAGGTTTTGAATTTCAGTTTTAGCAAGAACAGTCAGGGTCTTTACAGTTTCTAGCATATGACCTTTCACGATTCGTCAAGGAAGCTCTTCAGCTGCGACTTTTTTGTTCAGCCAATCTTCAGACTGCTAATCTCTGGACATGACTAAATGGCACAGGTGCACAGCACAGGAAACTGGTATCAACAGCACCCTGCTCCCTGATGGAATGATAACCCCTAGGGTCAGGGTTAGCTGCCCAAGTTCATCCTCGTGGCACTGTCTGCCTTCTTTGCAGGAGGTGCTGACACTGCAAAAGCACATGTTGAGACTTGGGAGCATATGCACAAGGTCCAATCACAGCACAAAGGATGAGTTTGTGCTACAGAGTCCTCCTCTTTTCCTAGAGAGAATCTTGTGTGCACTGCTTAGGCAGGTTGTTTTCCCATTGAGAGACACCAAGGTGAGGACTGTTGAAAAACTTTCAAAAAAACAGGTTCTGACCTACAACAGTGAATCAGTTTATTTACTTAAGAGCATCAGTATTTCATTTGGTCCTAAATGATTTCCCAAATGTACCACCTATTCTACTCTTCCAGTTTTCTTGAAGCTGTACTAAGGGTTCTATGGCAGACTTATTACAAGACTGAAGAAAAATCCAAAGCTGTGACTAATAAACAAGGAATTACTTAAACAAAAACTAGTTGCTGCTAATTATGCAAGCCCTGTAGCAGGTTTTTGTTTCTAATTTGATATTTGCACAATGAGCTTGAAGATTTTTGGTGTGCCACTTGTTCAGCTTGCAGAACTATTTAGTTTATGAGAGTTTAAACGCTCTGTCAACTTTAGAAGTACAGCTTGGAGCCCCTTACTTCAACCCCAGACTTAACTATCACTTAGCTACAACCACGGTTCTTAACCTTAAGTGCATGCTTATAAGCTTTATTATTTAACAAGAGCAGCACCCAACTGACTAAGGGTCTCCAGCAAGGCCTGGCTCTGCTGCTTTTGATGTTCTCTTGAAGTAATAATTGTTTTTATAAAATATTCTTCTGTCTTTTCAGCGTTTTTTCATCATATTACAGATCTTAGGACTTCAGTGCTCCGTGAGAATACAAACTCTCTTGACCTCAAACTTTTTTCAACTTCAGGACAGTATGGTAACTCCAGAAACTTTTTTTCCTTCTAGATGCATGCCAATACTGTAAGAAATAGAACTTCCTAATCAGTTGCAGGAACTCTGCAAAAAGGCAGTGCTTCCCTTCACCCTGAACAGCAGAAAGCCAAAGGCTCATCTTCAGTAGGGAAAAAAAAAAAAAAAAGAGTTTGCACTGTCTGAAGAGTTATAAAAACAGACAATTTTAAACACTAATTATTGAGTGACATCACAAGTCTCATTCCACGTTCACCACCTTGTATCGCTGCTTGTAAAGGATCAATTGGATCAGTTGCACATCAAGTCAGAGAAGCATCCTATGGTTATGAGCTCAAATATTATTTCAGGTAGAGTAGTTAAGAAATTTGGAATAAGACTACTGGAATAAATCTCCAGGAATTGGGAGCATGAAAGAATAGCAGATGAAAAGATAATGAATGTAAAATATGTCGTAACCACGACACAAAGCTTTTGAAAAAGGCACCACGTAACACAAAGTGGTAGGACAAAAGTGATTTGATTATCCTACAGTTTTGAGATTCACTAGCTAAGAACTGTCATGTAAGAAAAAAACAACTCTGAGTGGTTTCTGAACTGATCAAGAATGAAGAAAAAGTGCAGGAGACCACAAAAATCAGAAAAGGGTCCCCCCAAAATACCAAGTTCTTTTTCACTTTTATGAATAACAGCTGCTACAGTAGACGTGTTTTTCCAAAGAATCTCTTGGGCTGAAAGTCTTGAGCCAAGTCACTGTTAGCCACTGAGCCAACTGACAGTACAGAGCCAGTAAAGTGAAACAAGTCTTATTTTACTTCTTTTGCTTCAGACTGTCAAAAAGCTGTGAGCTCAGGAGGTTCTGCTCTCATCTGTTCTAAGCACTGGTGCTGAGTATTATGACCAAATATGACAGTTTTGTGGGAGAAGTAAAAAAAAAAAAAAAAAATCACCACAAGCTGATTAAAGGACTGGGAATCTTTTCTTTTGAAAAGAAGGAAGTTTTTCAATATAAAATCCTAAATTTTTAGAAATTAAATGTTACAAGACTCAAGTTTTATTACGCAAAACCAGATTTTCAAGCTTGCCTCAGATGGAGGGACCAGAGAGTACACAAGTTAAAGTCAAGCTGAACAAAGGATCTTCTTTCTTTTGGCACCCTGCCCGCTGCTCGATCATGTACATTCACTAGTTTTGCACCTTAGTGTGTCTTTCTTGTTGTGGTTTAGAGGCAGGCAGGGGAAGCCCACAAGGACAAAACCCAAGCACAGTACTTCTGAATACAGGCTGAACTGTACCTCTGAACAGTTTTTAGAACTACATTTGATAATCTTAATATACATAACTATGACTTGCTTAGAGGCAAAGATTAGTGGCTCCTTATACACCTGAAACTATAAAACAGGGTAACAAAATCTCTGTGCAGAAGATTTCACTCTTCTGTAGAGAGGCCACAGAAGAGTAGCTGGTGATATCAGGAATAATGTAACCACTTTTCTTTTCAATAGACAAATGATGTCTGTCACTAAGAGCTACTAGTGCTAATTAGGAATATTGACTATGAGGTAACTTGAGTAGTTGACTAACTGCAGGGGGGAAAAAAATGCAACAGTATGAGATACCTACATTTATTTTTGGTGAATGGAAAGTAAGATCAGCATCACTGATAAATCACAGGGTTTTTTACTTATCCAAAAAAATGCATGGTTTTGATAAATAAATGTTTCTACTTACACTAGGAACAGCCGAACTTTTCTTACGTTCAGGAATATCAGCTTTATTGGGATTGCTGGCATTTCCAAGCATTGGACTAGCTGGTGCAATTCCTCTTCCTGCAACAGCACTACTGCTGGATTTTCTTGCCTGAATTCCTTCTTCTTTGAGGTCACTGTCTGTAGTACTAGTCTGGCTTCTTTTGGGATATGCCACTACTGAGGGGATGGATGGTCCAGCTTAAAAAACAAACGAAACAGGAAAAGGATTTTTCTCCTCAGAAGTCCAGTATTTTTCACCGCAATGGAAATGTATTCACACATGAGAATCACCATAGTTAACAATGGGAATCAGAGTTGCAAGAAGGTAATTATTTAAATTGCTGAATGTATTTCAGGAGACAGTAAAATATAGTAAAAAATAAAAACCTTTCCAGGTGAAGATATTACTTGTTTTCCATGAAAGAATTACGAATTTCATGAAAGAATTACATATTTCATGGTTTGGCTTACCAGGAAAAACCCCTTAGAGTCATCTTAAAGATACTTAACAAGTAACTGACTCGTTCAAACCAGACCATCCTTCATTAGCACAAAGCTGGTACATGCTGTTCAAGCCCATTTCTGATAAAACAGGGCTCCTCAGACAGGTACCTGCTGACATCACCCCAGATCAGCACTACCGGTTGTTGAACCGTGCCTTGGAATGTCCCAGAAGTGGCAGCAGTTCCCCACCAGCCTCCCCGGGTGTGCCAGGAACAGAAAACTGCTCCAGCACACCTGAGAATGGAATGAGGCAGCCCCTTCAATAGTCCCAAGTTCCCTCTTGCTTTAATAGATTCCTGGACACTGGAAAAAGCCTGTGGGGCTGTCAGGATTGTGTTTTCTGACGCCTCAATTACACCTCTGAAGAGGATACATCAAGTTACATCAACTTTGTAGTTAGTGTTTTAATAAGAGTTAATCAAAAAGTGTATGTATATACACAGACATAAAAAAACTACATATAAATACATATTTACATATATGTAATATATAACTAAAACCCACAGTAACTTTCATCCCAGGAGACTCCCCAAGGAAAGCAACCTCTGAATGCACTCGAGGTTATTTCAAAAGAGACCTAAACTGAGACTACTTTTATGAGTTAAGTGTCTGAGCAGGAAGATGTTTAAGATATTTAGAAAACTCTATTCTACCACATTGCACTCTCATTGAGCAGAAGAAGTGTAAGTTTGTCTGAGTCATTGTTCTTAACAAATTTAATTCCTGCAGGACAATCAAGTGACACTACCCTCAGGAAACAGGAAACAAGAAATATTGGCAAACTGACATTTCTTCAAGTTTTAGACACAAGTTGACCTACTAGTGTCAAAAGAAAACAAAAGCTGAACAGACATACAAGAGCATGGGGGAGGAGTGCTGTGCTTTTCATGAAAAAGGGGGTTGCAACATTCCCTTCAGTTTGTGTAACAAGACTTTCCCAGCACGGTCAGGAATGTAAGGGACAACACAAGGCAGAATAAGGGAATTAATTTTGCGTATTCAGCATTCCTCTACAAGCTGCTTCTGAAGGCTATATAACAAAACCAGTTTAAAAAAAAAAATTAGTTATTTAGTAAAACATTTAACCACCATGCTGTGAACCACACTGTTGTCTCATCCTCCTTACACTTGGAGGAGTGGAGACAAATCCAGAAACCCAGCAGAACTGGAAGTCACTATAGTCTGCTACACTGAAAACGAGAAATGCTCACCGTGATCACTGTACCGCCGCTGCTTCTGGCTAGAAGATATGCTTCTCTGAACTTTGTGATGAGGAGATTGTCCAGTGCTATTATTAAGATCACTACTTGGCCTAACTTTGGCAAGTGAAAGATTGCTGCTGGAGCTTGAATCACTTGCATCCAACTACAATAAAAATGAGAATATTGAAACAAGGAGTTCAAACAAAACAAATTAAAGCATCTATTATGATATGGAAGCAGGAACAGAGAAGATGGCCCTGCTACACAGGAAATTTAGAGGGGCACCGGTAGTAACTTAGAGGCCCCATCTTCTCTTAGGTTGTTATGCAACTGTCTTAGGTAAAACTCAACAGAATTTGCAGCTCCTCAAAGGATGCCAGATAAAGAAAATCCATCTGTATTTTCAGTACTCTTTCCTCAGAGTTCTCCCAATATTTGAACACAAAAAGAGGATACACACCAACTCCTCTAACAGAGGAACCAAGAGCAGCTTACTGGTGCCACGCCCTTTCTCAGCATCATATGGAAAGGTAAACTACAGTGCAAGAACTTTTTCAGGTTGATCATCCTGCTCCTTGGCTCTCTTAAAGCAGTTAGAGCTGGCATGTTCACACAAGCTCCTAGACTAGACAGGACGGTAACTGCAACAAAATCCTTCAGAGGAGTAACTGCTGAGCAAACAGGGCAGTTTTGGGGAGACTAAAGTCAAGAGTTTACTGACTCATGAACAGGGTGAGAACAAACACAGCATCATTTGGACTGCTGATGATTAGAATAATGTGACTTTACATGTAATGGACTTTTATGCAGGAATGCAATGCCTGTAGTTACTGACTTAATTTTTGCTTCTAACTTTGCTAAGGACACTTTCCGAACTGTTTCTTTGCAGTTTTAAGACTGGTACTTACCTCTGACGACTTCCTTCCTAGAAGCAAGTATGTAGCTGTTATTTCATCATACTTCATTTTACTAAGGGATTCTTGAATTTCTTCTTGAGAATATCCCATTCCTACCATAATATCTAAAAACAAACACACATTCTCTAAGTAACAGAAACTCTGATGTTCAGGCTGGTTGAGTGTTCAAGAGAAAGCATGGAACATTTACAGAAATTATTCAGTGTGAGAAAGTAAACCTGATGAAATAATAGCATTAAAAGACTAGTTACTTTTTCCAAGTGGCAAACAGTGATGGAGGAGAAAAAAAATCCTCCTGCATCAGGCAAACAATATCATACTGTGGAAGGTACTTGATTACCTATTCTTTTCTGGTCCGAGATGTCTAGTTCTGGTTCAACAAAAGGTTTAAGTTCATCCTCCTCATGCCCTGCATTGATCCACCTGTCCTTCATGATTTGCTACGAAAGAAAAGGTTTGGTTAGTACAATACACTTACCAGCGAAGAAAATAAGCTGTGGGAAGAACAACTCCCCCATCCACCAAACACTAAGGTCTTTCCTAGTTTTTCTTTTCCAGAACATTCCCAGCACCTACTCAGTTTTGCTTTGCTCCAGTGAGGAGAATCAACTACACACATCAAGCCAAGTTGCTTCTCAGTTAGATGTATTTTAGTCCACAGCTGAAAGCCAAAAGCCTGTAGCATGGACCAGGAGCAGTGTCACAACTCTGACAAGTCTAATAGGTCAATGGAAGGCCAAAACAATATTGCTTTTCTCCTCCATAATGGTACAAAAGGCAGGGGAAAGGCAGCCACAGCAGCCAACACCTTCAGTTTGCATTTGAAAATGTGGAAAAACAAGGAAAATGTCCTGGTGGATCACCCATTAATGTAGGAATCCACAAGGTAATCATCAGGCAATATATAACAGGAAATGTGGTGGTGACATGTTCATTTTTAAAGTAACTGTGGAGTCAGGTGTGTTACAACCCCAGTAAACAGTGCCTTTAAAAGGAGTCATGTGCCTTAGTCAACCATCACACCTCCTGCACCCACTCCAAATACACTGTTCAGACAGTAGGGCAGTAAGTTACAGTTCAAAAATACAGTTTGCAAGATACGACGTCCAGCTTTCTGATGCACTTTATTTGTGGCATTACCTCTAGAGTGCCTCTTTTTGTTGGGTTTAGCACCAGGAAACGTTTGAGGAGGTTTTCACAGTCTGTGGACATGTAGAAAGGAATCCTGTATTTCCCCCTTAGCACTCTTTCTCTAAGTTCCTTGGTAACAGAAGAACAGACAGCACGTTGTAAGCAGCAAATCACTTAATATATTCGATAATCATGCCCAGCATATTCTACAGAAAAAGCACCTTTAAGTTCTGTCCATCGAAGGGAAGAGATCCACTCACGAGGGTATAGAGAATAACACCTAAACTCCAAACATCTACTTCAGGTCCATCGTATTTCTTCCCTTGAAAGAGCTCTGGAGCAGCATATGGTGGGCTGCCACAAAAGGTGTCCAGTTTATTTCCGACTGTAAACTCATTGCTAAAACCAAAGTCAGCTATTTTAATGTTCATATCTGCATCTAGCAATAGATTTTCAGCCTGGAAGAGAAAGAATGCTTTGTAAGATGAATAAAATACTTGATTCAGAATGCTATTGTTTGTTCTCATTCTTAAAAGGCAAGAAGTTGAAATACCTACTAACATTCCCTTCCTTCCAAGGTATTTAGGTGCGCTTTAGTCTATCATTTGCATATCCCCTATTTTAAAAATCTCTCTACAATGGCTTCAGCCTATGGGAGCTGTTATGCTACCTGAGAACTTATTACAATCTATTTTTTTTCTCCACAGAAATGCATCTTAAATTTTGATCTATTCAGATGAAAACAAAATATAGTCTCACTATCTATACTTTATGGCACGTGACATTTCTGTAATAGTTTGGTAACAAACATAACCTTTAAGTTTTTTCAAGTGGTTTTTTTTTTGGTGTTGGTTTTTGCATTTTTTTTTAAGTTACAAAGCTTGTAACAACTTGAACAAATTATGTAGAAGCACTATTAATACAAAAAGGCACAGTTTAAAGAAGGCATATGCCATTTTGTGCCAAGCTACAAAGAAACCATACTTCAGTTTCATCATCACTACCGGTAATTCATTCTGAGACTAAAACTTGTCATATCTCTATCAAACTACCTTAAAAAAAAAAAAAAAAAAAAAAAAGACTTCTCAGCTAACACTGACCTGCATCAGATCTGAATGTCACTACAGGGTGAGAGGTTATCTTTCAGCAGCCATTAAATTTCTGTATTTAAAAGCCTTATAAATCCTCTTCATTTGAAATGGTTCTAAACTGTAAATAGTTCTCAAAACTTGTTATAACACACGCAAATAACAAATAAATAAACAAATCAGAAAGTTTAGTATACACTACATTTTATTGGCACAATCAAGATCACACCCACAGGTAAAGAAGCTGACATACATACCCTGTACCCACTTTTTCCTACTCACCTTGAGATCTCTATGAACAATATGTTTTTGATGGCAATACTGCACTGCAGATACTATCTGGATAGAAAACAAGCCAAATTATGTAAGTGTCATCTCAAAGAAAAAGGACATATAATCAAAGATTTCAACATTAATGACTGAAGTTGACATGTACTTATTTACTCAGAGCTATGTAACCAACTACTACAGTGGCCAGCATATTTGGGGAAAAGCTGCTAAATAACTTGGGTGTTTGTTATTTGATCTATTTGTTTTCTCCTATACTTAAACGAGGATTTTGTTTTTCCTGTGTGGCTAATTATAGACCAGTAGAAGCAATGACTTTCAGAAAGGTTACTGAAGTATTTCCATTCCAATACTATATACAGCTATAAAAGCTTTCCCCCTAGGCTGATGTTTTCCAGGCCTTCTCCAAAGGTGATTTTTCATGCCACACCACAGAGAGAAAAGGGTAAGAAATGGGCTTTAGCGACTGGAGAAACTACTGGGAAACAGCCTGTTTGTCAAAACTTATGCAGTGAAAAGCAACTACATATCTGACAGAGATCTGCTAAGTGCATATGGTTTATTGTATTTTGTATACCACAGCAGAGTAGCAAGCTCAATGGACAAAACTCTCTATGTCTCTCAAGTGCAATGGGATAATCTCTTCTGTCATAATTTCTGAATATCATTATGTTTTTCCTGCTTTATATAGCAAACTAGATAAGCTGTTTACTCAGTGCAGTGTCATAGTGCATTTCTTCTTAAGTCATATGCATTGCTGCAGAACTCTGCATGTATGGAAAACTTGCATAAAGTATTATTCTTACATAATCACAAATGCAGTCAAATGCATTTAATTTATCATGCATACATGGTCAGAATCGAGGCAGATGTTATGACTTCTTAAAATAAGTGGAACTGCACACAAAAATAATAACTATGTTCAAATAAATGTATCTTCAGCCTCCATTCAAGATTAAGATTTCCAATACAGAAAGATGACACAGCATTACTGTTACAAAAAATAACTCATGATCAGATCATCCAGCTTAGTGCAAGGATCCTCCTGTTCTGCTAAGGAACAAAGGTTATCTCCCTCAGTATTCAGAGCAGATGAAAATAAGGTTCTTGGTAGGCCAAAGAACTGATGTACCAGTAAATTTTGTATTTGAAACATAAGTACCAATAGGATCTCTGTGCCTTGTATTACTGAATCGCACATGTGCAAAATGCCACCCCAGAAACCAAGCAGTCTATGAAAAGCTGAAGTACTATTTCCATTCCCTACACTTTCATTTTGGTTTTGCTTGTTTCTGTATGTACTGGTTCCCTCTTTCAGACTCCAAGTTCAGCTTTTTACAGATACTGAAACCGTCAAAGTGCTCCCACGTCACTTGTACCATCCTTTTGGTTTCCTTTCCTTTTCTCTCTGCTACCATTACCCTAGTGCCAGTCACAAGCTCACTCTGGAGAGGCTCCCAAGGCTGACAGCATGACAAACACCTCAAGCTTTATTCAGGACTGCAGAGACACAGTGCTGTGCCACTCACTGCTGAACTGCTTTTATTGTGACTGCCTAAGAGCGGAAGGTTGAGCAGATGATCAATCAGTAGTCTCCTCTGGAGATGCTTTTGAACTACTCTGCATTGCAACAGGATGGCACAGAGACTGCAGAAGTGAGTCCAATCCACATGGAGGCAAAATAATGCAATGTGTATGACATTAATAATTGAAGAACAGCAGTCATAACTGAATGAAAAATAGCACAAAGCATGGCTGCACCAGGCTGACTCCCTTTTCTTCTACCTTCCATCACTGTTTTCATTGACAGTCCCCTCGCTCCCAACCCACTTGAGTGTGAGGAATTTTCTGACACTTGGCAGGTGAGAAGAGGGAAAGAAACATCTGAGCTTTGTGCTAGAGGTAACAACTGGAACAGTGAAATAGGAGGCATTCCAAAAATCTGTATAAACACAGGTTTTGAAGAACAAGTTAGAACAAGTTATCTCTAGGCAGAGAAACCATCTTTTTTAAGGATTAAATGACAAAAGGATAGATAAATGACCTCTCAATGTCCCTTTCACACTGACAGGTGTACTCCGATTCTTTATTGGAATATAAAAGTAAGATGTATTTTGTGAATATTTTATTTTCCAAGATCTGTCCTAACATCTACCAGCATTAAGAATTCTAAACTACTTCTGCAGGAAAACAGTGGGAAGGCTGAAGAAGGCCAGATCTAACTGGCTGCAGAAAAGAGAAGGAATTAATACACATGAATTTAAGGAGATCCCCTGTCCTGCATCAGATTTTTCTATGGAAAAAGGAAGAGATTGAACCAGAACTACTTGAAAGCCTGTAAAAGGGAAGAACAAGGTAACATTAAGAATGCAAAACATTCTGGATTTGAATTTCTCGCACATGGCTACACAGAAGGAGTTTGAAATGGAGAACTATATAGCAGAGCTGTATTTTTAGAGTTGTAACTTCTCATGTGTTCCTTATCAAGTGCGACTGGAATAATGTGATTACTGTCTTTTTTTTTCCAGCTAAAATCCTTACTATATTTAACAAAATGACTAAAAATTGTATTTTTTTTAACAAACAAAGAAGGGAGATTTACCAAATTCTGCTCTTTGCCTGCTAGAGAGGAAGTGTCTTTTCAGACAAAACACAAGTGTTTGATCCAGAAATCACATCTACTGAAAGAAGAAACATGATCTGAAAACAAGATATAATACAACCTATTGTAAGAACTAAGCTCAAAACCAGGGCACAACTGTTTCTTCAGTTTAAAAAGAGCCACCGTCTGTTAAACCAGTTAACAAATTTTAAAAAAATAAACGCCTATTATGTCATGAGTCTCTATCTAACAGAGAACAGCTGCACTGCATCAGATAAAAGGTCTGCAGAGTGCATTCTTCCTCCAACAATGGCTAAAAGCGATACAAAGCTATTCCAGGACTACAGTAAGGTGAAATGAATAGTTTTATGACCCGTGAACCCAGCAAGATCTAATTTCCTTTGACACTGTCCCTCAGCCTGAGTTTCAGCATCTAATAAATGCCAAGCTCTGATCAAAGTTACCTGACTTTCATCCTACACGAATGCTCTTCCCCCTAGCAAAGCGCAATCAGCTCGTGCTACGATTTCTCTCCTCAGCTCATTTCTAGGGTTCTCTCTTTTTTTTTCCTCAGGAACTGAGGCTTTTGAAGCTCTCAAGAACCTCCCATCTTTGAGATCAAGGTCCTCTAAAACTGGTTGAGCTCAGCAGCCAGGAAGTCAGCTGCTGAGGGACGACAGAGCACAGCTGCCTGTGCCAGGAGACTTACAAGAAAAAACTGGAAACATACTTCTGTGTATTTCAGTGCATACAAGTGAAGCCATCTATATATCTTTACAAACAGCATTTATTCTACTGAAGGGAAAAAAACCAAACCTACCAAAAAAAAAAAATCAAGCTGAGTATCTGAAGTACAAAAAAAAAAATCAACTCTTGATGGGACAAATACCCAGCTCAGTAGGTTAACTCCCTTTTAAATTCTTTCCCTTCACATTTCTTTTTGAAAAATGAAGGTACACATATCCTGTACTACCCGCATTATCCCATAAAATTAAGCACTAAGTGTACCTGTAAAACATGTTTGACTTGTTTCCGTAAGTTTTCATTTAAAGGGGAGTCAAACTGTTAGAAAAAAGTAGGTATTTGGTGAACAAACATGCAATTTCTATATAATTACTGCAAGATCTTTTTCCACACAGCTCCTGATAAAAGCAACTGAGGAGCAAGAGCAGAGAACTGTATCAGTAGAAATTTTCAATATTCACATCTGAGAGAGAACAATCAATCCTCTCAAGTTACTCTGAAGCTCTTCAAGTCACCTTACAAAGAGAAAGGCAACAGTCTGGGATTTAGAAGAGATGGTTGAAGTGGGAACAACTGCTCCACATCCCGTAACATCTACTCCAACACAGTACAGAAACACATACCAGAAACCCTCCATCTCAAAGGAAAGTTCTCTATCTGCCAGAATGTGAAAGGGAAGGAAACCGCTTAAAAAAGACATGTAAGACTTTGTTAAAGAGTAAGAAAACTTTTCCTTACTATCAAGCTGTGTAACTCCAGTAATCAAAAATTACTTCTAGGGATACGGAGTCCGTAGCTGCTTTTTGGGTTGTTTTGTTTGTTTGGTGGTGGTGATTTTGGTGTGGCTTTTTTCCCCAGAAGATTAAAAAAAGTACATACAAGATTTAAGGAGAGGAGAGAAAACACAGGAACAAGGATTTCATAGAAATGCTTCTGTTGCCTCCTTATGCTGGGTTAATACATTTGGGGTTTTTTTACTTTCATTGCTACTTTTAAGCTTATTGCTTATATTTCTTTCACACAGTTCTTACTATGTGAGACAGCGGGAGCAAAACATTTGTGGCACAGTTCCCTATTTCCCCATTTGTTCTTTCAGTCACACTAACCACGCTAGAGAAGTGCAGAAGTTTTCTTTACAAAGCATTTTGTGAAAGTCATTAATTAATTTCCTGGAAGTCTCATATCAAATTTCTATGTATGGCTACACTTAAGAAGTGACCCTTCCAACAGGGAAACTGGTTGACATATCACTGCCACGATTCACCAGTTTAAAACCCCTGCAGATCATTCAATAACACTTTTGTCTCTACTTGTTATTTTTAAGTGTCATTAAGCTGGAGCATAATTTTGATAGTTTTTACTTTTCACATTATTACCTAGATTATCCAAGTGACTAAAGGGATGGAAATAACATAGAGATTTACAAATTCTGCATAGGAGCAGAAAACAAGCGTACCAGACCAGTCAGATCTGCAAATTAAACTTTAGATGCTACAAGAGCAAACGTTTGGATTTTGAGAAGTTATGTCAAAATATCTGGTTATGTTCAGTACTGCTTTCCTGTGGAATGGAAATGCCTTTCACTTGAGATCAATGAAATTCCAACATTTTGGCAGGGCTAGCTTATCCATCATAAAGAAAGCCTAACTAACAAAGCCTAGAAAATTAATTCTCTATGACTTTTCAGAACAACTACTCAACAGCATCTTCTCATGTTAGCAGATGGTTGTGACCAGACCCCTGTTACTCGCACCGTCTGTGTTTTGAAACTGGCCTGTTTGTAGCCTGTTACATTTGAATAACTTCCAAAAGGCTACAAACCTGCTGAGCTAAGGACATACAAAATCAACCCAGAGGAAATGCATTTTGGAATGGGATACACTTCCAGATGAAGCAGTCTCCGTGTTCTGGCACTCCTGGACATCCTGGTGCTCAGCACTAAGGAAACCAGCACCACGGAACGGGCTACTAACTCCAAGGTACTACTGACACTTAAGTTTTTCCTCACTCAGAGCTACAAGTCCACAACATGCTGAGCACTGCTCTAAGTCAAATGCAAAGGACAGCTGTTTTACTCATTTCAGCAAAAACAGGGGCGGGGGGAAAGTTGACATATAGGAATGTTATACATACCTGTCTAAATTTAGCTCTAGCCTCCTTTTCCTTCATTCTTCCATGTGCAACCAGATAGTCAAACACTTCCCCTACAATTCAATGATGAGATACATTAATGCCAATTTCAGAATGTAGAAATTCCTCTCCAGCAGTTGCCCACAGCAGCTTCACTGGAACGACTGTACTTCAAGTTTATGATTACAGGATAGCTTAAGAGATCGAGGCACAACTGCTGTGCAATTTACTACACCATCATCTCTTTTACAAGAAAGTAATGAGTGACTGGATATACACAAAGGAAACCATTTCCTTCCAATTACTTAGGACAGAAACTGAGCAGCATACTTCTGTTTTGTAAACAAAGATGACATGTATCCCTTCACAGACTTTCTCACAAGGGTTTCTTTTGACCCACTGGAAAAAAAAAAAAGCTTCAAATATTAGAACATCTGATGATATTTGTAAATATCATCATACCAACACCAGAATTTTAATTTGTCCTCACACGTAAAATTGTTGTAAACAAAATCAGAAATCTCAGGTTTAACCCAGGCATGAAAGAGATACCCACAAGGAAGGTCACAACAACGAGCATGGCAGGACATAATGCCATGGACATAATCCATCATACAATCATCAGATCTGTAAAATACACTGAGAAGGACTACTCCCGAACAAACCCGCTGTGGATGACTAAAGTTTACTAAAGATACGTTGTGTTTTGTTTTTTCCCCCTTTAATCCATGCAGTCATTTTACAGCACATCAATATAGACTAAAATGTTTGAGCTTTAGGTGCAGGCCAACTGGCCCATGAAACACTGACTGTTTGTGAAAAGCATGGGAGATTTTCATGACTAAAAGTAACAGTCTTGTACATGAGAACTACAAACACAGACTAACAGGCAGTTTTTAAAATTCCTTGCTAACATGTAAAAATCATAAGAATTTTAGAAGTGGATCCAATATTTAAATATTCTCTACTAAGCAAGAAATCACTGTTTTGTAGACAGTCACCTCACATGGGAAGAGCTGAGTAACTTCACATTTATTTTTCACAAGAAGCAACTCCACCAAATTGCAATAAAAAAACCCAGTCATGCAGCAAGAAAAGCAACAACTGAGCCATCTGAAGGAATGTGAGGATTCCCTACAAAATAGCCTTACTTCCCTCTGTGGTGTATTATTTAGTACTCAACTCAGATAACTCTCAGTTGTATTTCACAGCTGTTTCTTAAAAAACCTTGAAGCAGCAAACCTGAACACTTCTTCATAACTCAGGGAAAAACACACCAGAGAAAGAATTATCCCCAGTTTATGTGAAGTGTTGCAGCTGCAGCAATAGTTTCCTTCTTCCTGCAGGCAGAGTTCATGTGCATCCTGATGACCTGTACCTTCTTAAAGAGAAAATATGGGAAATTGAAGCCTGCCATTGAGATTACCAGCCATTCCTGTCTATCACAGCCTGGCACATCAAAATGTACTGCTCTTGGTCTTTTAGACCAGCACAGTATGTACCTCTCCCTTACCATCCTAAGGAAGATTTTTACTGCTTTAGAGAACCACTGGCCTTTCTACCTCCTAGAAGATAATCACTAGATGGCAACAGGACTTCATTTTTAAGTCTAGAACCATCAAACAGCACAGAGATGCTTCCCCAAACACCTGTACCAGCCGATATTTTAATGATATCATATCCATTCTGCTCCTGTTTAGGCTAATCTTGGCTGAGCATTTAGGGAACTGCCAAAAGAAAACACAGGCAGGTAGAGAATCTGGTTTTATTTGTAGTAATTCATTAAACTTCATGTAATCCAATGTCAGAATTTGAATTCAATGCTGATTTTCCCTGAAAAAAAGGCTCTATATCTCCCTCCTGAAACTAAAGAAAAGCCTCAGCTAGTTAAGATTCCCAGATGCTGATGCTAAAGGGTCACTGACAAATGGAGTGCTATGAGGTTTTACCCAGTAAGGAGTAAGTTAAGCCCCTAAACCTTAATTTTACCTGTGGTGAAAATATCTGTCATTGCATGATGTGCATTTTTCCATCCCCTCTACAATCAGGAAAAATGTTTAAGTTCCTCCTAAAATAGGATAAGGCTAAGCCTAACAATTCTTGACAGTAGAAAGTCTGTGATTAAGATATGTAAGATGTCATCAACATCTAAAAACAGAAGTTGCAGTACTTGTGCTTTGAAACTAACAGTTAAAGAAACACAGAAATGTTTCATCTGAACATGTTTTTACCAAATATCTTATATAAAATAGGACACCAGAAGTAGGGAACTGAATACAATAACTGAGAAGGTCAATATTTGTCATGGACAGGAACAACTGATGTCCGAAAGAAAGACTCTCCTTAAATTTGAGTTGTGAAAACAAAGAAATTGTTACTAAGTCATAGTAAGTTTAGAAGTTGGTTTCATAAGTTATACTTTTATTGACCAAAGAAGTCTCAAAGAATATTAAATATTTTCCTTAATGTCTTACACTACTTTGATAAAGATTTGCTGAAAAAGTAAGCAAAACTTTAAAGAAAACAAGTACTTTCCCTAACTTGGCAATTTGTTTACATGTGTCACCACAGTAGAGAGGTACTTACCCCCACTTGCATATTCCATTATTAAATAGAGAGTTTTTTCGGTTTCAATGACTTCAAATAGCTTCACTAGAAAAGAAAGACATTTATTTATCAGTTAACTAGCTGCACAAATATTATGTTAGTCCTACAGAGAATTCTGTCAGAGAAAAATACCCCAAACTATTTGCTTGCCACTTGACGGTATCAGACTCTTTACTCTAAAGAAGCTATTTCTGTCAAACGTTCCTAGACAGAAAGTACTAGAACATATTTGGTCAGCTCATACAGAACAACGTATTCTCAAGAAACAATACTTTGCTTCTGCTACATGGGAAAGCAACTAAAGTAAGCAGAACTTCCACATATTTGAGCATCAACAATAGCCATTTCTATGCACTGAACTGGCATACATGGTGACAAATCAGTTATCAGTCAGTTTGCTGACAGTCCTGTAACAGCACTACATCATTTAGATGTACAGTCTTGAACAAATTCTCAACCACTTCTTGATTACGGTGTATGTACTTATTTTTAATGAGAGCCTGAATTTAGTAAGAGCCAGTATCATACTCTAAAGGAGCACAACTATCAGTTAGCTATGCAACAGTTTTGTGCAAAGGGACCAAAATGTTTGTTGTTTTTTTGTTTTTTTTTTTTGTAAACACACAGCTCTGAAACAGTATTTATTACTGCTATTGTACAGAATATTGACAAACTAATGCAAAATGATATTTTAAACTCATACCACAACCATTTTAACAATGAAAAAGCTAAAATTTCTCCAGTTGGAAATTATGTGAAAGAAACAAGGTACCTATATTTGGATGATTTAGAATCTTCATTATTCTTACTTCTCTAAAGAGCTGAAATAAACATAAAACATGAAGTAAGTAACTGAAATTGGTAACAAACAGCCATTTTTCCTGAAGACTGATGATTTTGATATAGTTATTTAAACACAAAGGGCAAACATTATTAACATTTCAATGAAGTCCATGAAAGAAGCTCTTAATGGAGGGAAGAGTTATGTGGATTCTTCTTTAACACTCCTCCCAAAAAAGCAACCCTCAAAAACTTGAAAATACCCACAGAGGACTCCAGATAGCTCAGGAAAGTGACCTTAGCTCTGTGGTTTGCAGACTTTTGGGGCCACAAGACCACTGTCAGCCCATGCAGTTCCTTGCTGACCGGTACATCTCACAGATCCTTCACTCCCTTCACAGAAAGGACAGTTTCCAAAGTTTTGTGAACCCCCACCTGAACATCTTTACAAGACCACTGCAGTACATTACTAATATGAATTCAGCACTCTTCAGGACTTTGTTAAAGCCAAGGAATTGCTGTGCTACAACAGCAGCTCACCGGTGAAACACCAGCCGCTTGAAAGGGTGTTATCTGAGTACACCAGCAAGGAGCAAGCTTTAAGGAGAGACGGGAAGACAAGGCCACCCCTCGGCCCTTCAGAAGCATTCCTGCAAGGCGACTGAGGGACAGCAGCATCTAGTCCTGGGTCTGCCAGCACAGCTCCTCTGACTCACTGCCAGACATCCAGTCTCCAAGCCTGCCTGGCCAGTGCAACGCGATGAATGTACTTGCCAAAATTAATAGGGCAGAACACAAACGGTGTTTTCCTGACCCCATCGTGCTGCTTCCCTTTATGCAAGCACTGGTGTTAACCCAGACTGACCCACAAGCTCTAGGAATTAATTTAACAGAAAAATCTCACAAGACACACAACTCCCCCACATAAAAGCACTCTCTAGCCCACCCCAGCACATCTATTTTGGCAGGATGGGTGGTTAGGGACAGCTGCCCATTTCAAGCTGCAGCATGACATTACATCCACTGTTCTGAATCCAGAGACAGCACACTGATTGTAAGGATCTTGTCATGTCCCATGCTCCATGTCTGTCCCTCCCCGCTACGTCAATGGCCACGTGAAGGGGGTTTTGCTTGAGTAACTAATTATTTCTGAAGATTTCAACTTTGCCTGTCACAGAGTAAACTCTGTCCCCCTGCCAATGAACAACAATAGAGGAATGACACTTAAAACTACAAATGAAGGCAAAGTCTGTTACTGATCAGTTGTTGGATATTTGCAAGTCTCAAAACTCAGCTGCAAAAAACAATTTTAAGATACACATAAACTTGCAACTGTTATACTAAAAATGCCACAGGTGGTGTTACTGCAATGTAAAACACAGCTTTTAATGAAGCTTGTTAATAGCAAATGAATTAAAAGTAGTTCCAAGATAAAATATTATTACAAAAAACTCAAAGCACAAATATCACTATATTCAGAAAACTAAAGAATCCTCTTTTTATTCAGCACCCTGTATGGCAGTCGAGTGTGTAGCTGTTCTCCCTCTGCATTTCCCTCCATGCCAGCCCAAGGTTCCAGAGGGTTGATGTTCCTAAACATCAATTATTTTCTAACAGCATGTTTCAAAAAGTAGGAGTAAGCCAGAGGTTTTATGAGAAATCCAACACAAATTTCTACAGGAATACCAGCAACCTAACAGATCATTTTGAACTTAATGTAAAGAGACTGAAGCAGAACATAAGTCCACAGCTCCAAGGGAATGCAGACATGGGAAAAAACCCAAGAGTTCTGTAAATAAAGGGTAGCAGCATTGTCATTAACAGTAAGGAAGAAAAAGTGCTGCTGCAAGATATGCCTCAGGTCAGATTTCAGATAAAGTGAAGACATTTAATATGTCTACATGGATTACCAGCATCTCAAATCTGTAGGTGTATTTACTCAATAAAAGCAAGGGGAAAAAAAAATTAAACATTGGAAACAAAGAAAAACCAACCAAAGAGTGAACAAAAAAAAATCCTTGTGCCTTTGTGACTTTTCATAAAAGAAAATGCAAGGGGTGGGTTTTAAATAAATCAAGCTGCTTAAATGCAACAAGAGTTGATTGATCAAGTACATTATTGGCCATACAAAACAGTCTCAAAACCTACGCATGCATATTTTTTTTTATCCCCTAGAGAGGTAAAATTGCCTTCTTTTCTTTTTTTAAACTATATTATTTCTGGGGCTTTTTCATATGTAACCAGAGAAAGTAGACAACCTTTCTACTGATCTTCAGAAATTTAACAGCAGTTTGATCTATAGCTATTTTTTTCTTGTTCTTCATTCAGTTCAGCTGAACTGGTGCATAATGTATTCTGAATTCTCCATTAACACTTTTAATCACAGCTTATCTAACTGAAAGCCTCTGATCAGGTTCTGCAGTTTTGAAAACACTTTGCTTAATTCATTCCAAATTGATATTTGATACCTTCCACCCCCAATATTCAAGATAAAGCCTACGGGTCAGACTCATCAAAACATTCGTCCACAAGACAACTACTCTGCATTACTAACCAAAATGCAGCATGTTAAAAACCAGATCCTACATTATGAGCCATTTGTTGAAGTGGGTGACTAGAAATAAACTCTTTTTAAAAAAGACTATTTTTGTCTCAGAGGAAATTAAAAATAAAAATAGTTGAGAATAAGATACAACCGCTACCAAATTCTTTTATTAGAATTTTGGTTAGATAAATGCACTTCAGATTGTGCACTGTTTGTCAGTTTAACTGTTGTATGTAGAATTTTGATGCAGATAGCAACTTCCACAGGGACATCTACAAATGCCTGACATTGTATTATATATTATAGTCTACTTCTAGGATAGAGGAGCATGATGTAAAACATCACACAACTTTCACACAGTATGCTGAATAGAAGTTTCACAGATTTCCCTCCCCTCCAAATACTATATGAATCAACTTCGAGCAAATGAAATAGTAACCACCACCAAACAGTAACATTCACTGCAGAAGCCAGGTATGATAAAACCTCACACCTCTGAGGTTCCCTGCCACAGGAACAAAGAACAAGGTATAATATCAGAAGATGTAACATGAAGGTTCTCAATACAGAAAATTATTTTCTTAGTTTTAGAAACTTACTTCTTCTGATGAGACTATAAAGGCAGACAAAACCCAGAAACCAGTTCTCATCAGTTTAATTTCTAATACCGAGATTAAAAACTACTCCCAGCTTGTAGAACAGCTCATTTTCCGTCAACAGGAGCTCTACAAATGTTTCCAGGCAAAGACAAACATCTTTGTCTGCCAAACAAATGGCTTTCAGCTTTGTTGTGGTCCGGTCCTTTGACTGTAAGCCATGTCAGATACAGGGAAAGAATCGCATTTAATTAATGCTGCTGCCAACAAACTGAATAAAAGAAGCCCAACAAGCCAGCAATGGAAGCTAGTTCTCTTAGGCCAACTTTCTTTGAACACAGCAAAAGACAGATCAGAAGTGCTCCTGCAACAGCTACTGCAAGACTTTCAGCAGCAAAGTATTTTAAAAACATGAAAAAAGTTTGCTAAAGAGCAAATCAGTACAGTCATCAGCTGCAGAGCACCAAACTCCCCCCGCTGCCTTCTCCCCAAAGGAGGGGCTTTTCCCAAGCTGCTGTCCCAACCCAGCCCAAGTTTGACCAGTGTATTAGGCTTCTCCTGGTAATTGCTTCACTGAAATATGTCCTACTTATAATGAAGAGCCTCAAGTAAAAAGCCTTTATATAATCCAAAATTACAAAATTTACAAAATTAATTTGCCCCAAACTAACTGTGACATGAAAACAGACAAGGATACTCGTTATAAGCAGAAAAGCCTGAGCATTTTAAATTCTCATCCTTTTCTTGCAGTTTTTAAAACACTGATTGACCCATAGTCAGAAAGGCCACAGTCCACATCAAAATTGATGTATAAGAATTCCAAAATGCTTCAACAAAAAATATGGCCCAAACAAGTGGCAAAACATCTGCATATAATGAACAAAAATATTTGGCTGAGGAGTCAAGTTCTAAAAAAAGGAACACGGGAAGCGATTTAGTGCTACTACATGGGCTTGGTAAAAAAAAACAAAACCTTGCATAGAATGGCATTGCTAATTCAAAAGAAAAAAAATAAACAATTTTTTTTTGCTAGGAGGAAGTGAACTACTGTAGCATCAGCATTTGTTTCCAGTGAGACCGATATTCACTGGAACTGGGTACACAAGTCCATTTGTGGAGAACAGTGGTTATGACTAACACCACCAGCATGGGAAAAAAGCTCTAAGAATTCCCTTTTCTTTCAAAGCAGGGAAGTACCGGTTACAGTTTCCTCTTCACTAAGCAAGAGTAGCAGAGCAGCAATTAGGTCCTAAAACAACAGTAAAGAGTAGCTGCATGTGGCTGCCACAGACTTCCTCAGCAGCAGACAGAAACCCGACCCTTCTGAAGAGCTGCTACTCAGTATCGAGCTGTCAGGGCTGCAGGGAGGGCATACCACGAATTACTGCTCCGGAAAGCGAAGCAAGTCCTTAACAAGGTTAAACTTCCTCCTGGCAGCTGAAGTATCGATGTGGAAGATGTAACACAAAGAAATCAGAACTGGCAGCCTTAATCACCATTTGTCTCCCCCACCTAAGGATGACTCCGGCATGCAGCTACACCGCAGCTGAGTCGCTGCACGCCACACCCTCCTCTCGGCACAGCCCTTCCCTCCCCACCATACCTCAAATATTTTATCGCTCCCTCCAGAAGTGCGAGGCCAGAAGCACTTCCATCTCAGCCTCCCCTGCATCTACTGGTCACGCAATATCAGAGTTCTCAGTTCAGTGCCGTAGCCTGGGTGCGTTTGGAGCCAACTGCAGTTGGCTCCAAACGCACCCAGGCTACGGCACTGAACTGACGGAGATGGAGACATGAGTAGGCAGAGCTGGTGGAAATCCAGGAATCAAAGGACCATCGCGCACACTTCCAGCCCGTAGCTTTACCAACTGAACACCTCTGATTTGTAAAATGGTTTGCGTTGTACCCCAATATGAGATCAAACTTGCATTTACAACCTAATCTCAAATAACATCATCTGAACAATTATGATCTTACATTTTTGCCTGTAAACAAGGCCTCTCTGCTTCTCTCTGACTGTTCTTCCCATGTGCTGACGCCTCCCCTTGGTATCCACACAGCTTTTGTTTATCTTTCAAGTGCTTCAAGCATTTAATAACTTTTTCAGGTATTCCAAGTTGTGCAGATCTGACACACAAATCAACTTTATCTAATCCATCATATTACCTAATTTGCATTTTATTTCCGCCCTGCTTACCCAGAAACCACCAACAACCTCAGGGATTAAACTGAGAAAAATTCTAAGGGAACTGGAACTGCATTATCCACTTTTACCCAGTCCACAGAGTCAGAAGGAAGTTGCTACCTGCTCAGAATATGGACCCTTTCTTCTATAGGTTATTGTTTGCCTCTCAAATAAACCGTATATGAACTTGTGTGTTTTTCCAATTTACTTCTGCACCATTAATCTTGATAAAAACATCTAGTCACCTGATCTTTTTAGTATTTGCCTAAAATACAAATGGGTATATTCTCCCCTAGTTACACTGCTTCAATCATGGGTTTTCTCTTGTTCAAACAGAAATATTGTGAGGAGTTTTTTTATCAAAGTACTCAAAAGTAAACAAAAAGCCTTTGACTGCAGCACTTAAAAGGACAAAGTTAGAAAAGTCCCACGTAAAAGTAACATTTAAATGTACTTCCTGCACACACTCCAAAACAGCCTGGCTTGCTTGATGAAAGAGCAGGGTTTATCGCTCTGTACTAAAACAGATAAGGCAACACAACTGTAACAGCACATTAAACATTTGAAGCTAGAGGGAAGAAATCAGTCATGCCCCAATTTGTTTCATAAAACTGCATCACCTCTCCTGCTGCAAATTATGCGAGAGGCACAGACTGAAGCCTGGCCTTCAGTCCACAGGCAGTATTTTCAAGGCCGGCTTAAGAGGACAGGACATAAGCTTTGCCTTTCTAAGTTTAACAAAGTGACTGGCATGAAGGAGACATGGGGGCACGACACCAAACCACAAACGTCCTCTCTACAGAGTCAGCTAAGCTTGGGAGACAAAGGAAGTGGCTAATACCACCGTTTTCTCAGTTTACAGCTCTGTATGAGTTCAGCCTGAACAACTGCAGGGCTGTCAAAAATATCTGTTACAAAACTAGTTATTAAATACAGTAGTCAGATGTGTGCAAGGTATGCAATGCTTCAGATTCTCCAGCACAGGCATTCAGGGTTAATGGAAGGAGGTGGTGAGGAGAAACAAATTATAATACAGTTGAAAGATAAAATGTAAAAACATACCTTTTGTAGACTAGTTGGGTTCAGCTGTGTTTTGTCAATTATTTTTATGGCAACCTAAAGGAAGAGTCTGTGATCAGTATTTTCCACAGGAACACCACCACATTATTACAACATGCTCAAATCCAGTAACAGAAATGTAAAACATGAAAATTACACAGAAAACTCTTAAGTTCCTTCAGCAAATTATGTACTTGTATTTAAACTAAAAACAGGAGAGAGGAAAAACCCTGGTATGTTAAGCACATTAACACGAGAAGCTCACTGAGTCTTTCACTTGACATTAAGTCCACCACACTTATGACAGTGGAAGCTCCAACACCAGACAGTGCCCCTATAGAGAGCAGTGTGCCTGCAGATAATATTTACACAGTATAATTACACAACAGATTACACAGTAGTGACTGGGCACTGTCAGTTTCTAAAAACAAGAGATTTCAGAGCAAATTTAAAGCAATTCCACACAAACTTGGCAGGAACTAAGCTCATCTTTGGAAATTCACTAAATATTTGTGTCAATTTGCTTCCTGATGGATATGAAAAAAAGTATCACTTGTGCATCAACAAAAAACCCACTGGCTGTAATACAACAATTTGGGCAAGTTCATTCCTTTACTGGTTCTCATCTTTTTCAGAAAATACTGCATAGAAATATTAAAGAACAAAATAGAAATGTCACAAAATAAGCAAAAGAGAAATTCAGTACCACGATAACTAGTCAGAACCTGAAGATTTGAAGCAATGAATAGGCAAGAGAAACTTCAGCGCGACGCAATTTGGATACTGGATGAGTTAGAACAGAAATGGGAATCTTTCTAGAATTACATGCCAATTGGTATTTTTCCTTTCTAAATTAAAGACTACGCATACCAGAAGAAGCTCCACAGAAGCCAAGGAGATGGTGCCTCTCAAGAAGCAAGATGCTGCAACTCAGCTGATTATAATACCTCACTGGTGCAAAGCAAGGGCTTCCAACTCAATTTTTGGCTCAAACAGTACATGCTGCTCCTTCCCAAGCCACAGCTCCCATTTCCCTGAATTGCTTCATGCTATCTTTGTCACCTCATTAACTTGGGATCGGCACCATATGGAACAAAGAATATCTTACATCAAAGCAAATCTATATCCCTACAGTCAAGTGCAAAAACACAGGGATGGATCGTGATGATGGAGAGGGTAAGAGGGTGTTCGACGCTTGGGTGCTTCATGGAATTATATAATGCAAATGTTTTCTGAAACTGATATTCAAGACTTATTTTGGGCCCTTCTAGATGTAAGATAAGACATAACAAAATAGCCATCTAAGAATGCTTTTACTTTGGGGAGTATTTTCTTCTAAGGCAGGCTACCGATATTAAAGATCACTATTTCCTGAGGCAAAATTCCATTGCAAAACGTTGAGAAATCACTTCAAAAATACAAACAAGAGAGAAACACATTAAGCAATAGGTATTTTTATATTAGCAGTTGTGTACGAAACCATGAAAGATTGTTATCTCTGCTTTTATGCCTGCTGTTAACTTTCTGACAATAGTTCAAAGTTATTTGCTTCCTGCAGTCTCTTATAAGTCCATGCTGGATGTTGAGTGACCACTGCCTTTGTCAACAGCAGATAATGTTATCTGAAAGTGGCCCAGTGTCCCAAGACTACCCAAGTCATCGAAGATGGCTGTTAACTTGGTAAGTGCATTCCACTCAGAAGAAGTTGTTGTGTCCTAGGCTGTACCATTCTGGTCAATCTTAATAGATATAAACTCGTTTCAACCCATGAAGTCTTAAGGTAACGGGTTTCTGCAAAACCAGCTCACCTCCCTCACTGTGCAGTGGTGCCAGATGATCAGAGAGGTCTCTGACACTGTCAAACAAATTCAGTCCTGGAGATACAGGGAAGGTACTCACCTCAGATTTCCGAAAGACAGACTCTCAGGCCTGTTCCCTGAACTAATTATAGCCTTAAAGGCAGGGTGAATTTAGAGAATTCCTATCCACATGAACACTAGGAGTACAATGAACATGGCCTCTGAGAGCTTGAACCATCATCAGAACAGGGAGCAATTTCAGGTGCCTTGATAAGGTATGCACAGGCAAAGGGAGCCTGCCCTCAAGAATAGCTCTGATGAGCCAGAGAAAGAAAATCCTCCATTCCATTAAGAACACTTAATAAAACATCCAATTGCCTTCCCAAGCAGAAACTTTTCTCTCTTTACATGACATGAATCTGGAACAGTTTCAAACACTGTGTGCTATGGCCAATGATGGAGGAATGCAAGTCCACCTACACTATTACACTGCTGCATTAGCCATGATACTCCGTGTGAAACGGTTAGTAGAATTAAAATTAACTTTGCCTTCACCATTCACAATAATATGACTTAAAAAATTCCTCCTACATGATTTGAATGAGGGAGTTGAAGCAATCAGAAGTTGGGAACACTGAGCAAATTGCCTAAACTGCTACCATTCAGAATGTTTTCCCCCTCCTAAATTTCACTTTTTCCAAGAGAAGAACAGAAAGAAGATGATAACAGATTCCTTGGAGTCAGACTTGGATCCTGAAAGAATTCTGCCACACTGGGCAACTTCAACTCCCTGGCTATTAACTGAACACATGCTTTTAATGAACAGAAGGATCCATAATAATTTTGGCTACTCAGTAACAGCAAAAGGTAGTTTTATCTTTTAGATTAATTTTGGCAAGTATGGGAAACTTGTCAGAGGAAACACCCTTTGATAAGACTACAACAGAAAATACATGGATTACAGTCCAAGAGTGAACGAAAGTACATTGACAACAAAGATTCGTGGTTTGGAAAGGGCAGACAGACTACAAATAACACTCTCCTAGGCAGAGGATATCAAAGGAGGGTGTTTCCAAACACCAGTTCTAATGCAGTGAAACTCTGACTTGAAGGCCACACACTTCTTGCAGGACAATTCAACCCCCTCAAGTTAGGCTGATGTTCTGATCATCCCCTGAAGGGCTCAGCATTTCTCCTTTTCTGTAATTTGATGCTGGGCTCTCATCACGCATCCTGCAGACACACTGAAGATGGAAACAGAAGAGAGTCCTGGAACTTACTCCAACTGGAAACAAGAAATCTGCACCTCAAGCAACAGGAAAATTCACAGGGAAGGGCTCTCCAGATGCAAGGAGATGAGCAACTACCCTAGAAGAATGCTTGGACAAACATATCCTCCTCCCAGGAAGTGACAGAAAAGTGCTGATCTGCTTCAAGATTTGGAAGTTAATCAGTGCAGAGATATAAAGAAGGAATGGCCATAAAGTGAAACTGACCTGGACACTTAAAAGAACATTAAGAACATTAAGAAGAGAGCTACACAGATAACAAGGAGAAGATAAGCGGGGTTCAAATACAGCAAGGAGACAGCAGAGAGGAAAAATCATTAAAGTGTGACTCCCAAAACTAATCACTCAGCTTAGGTTTTGGTATGTAAGATGGAAAAAGGAATAGGAACAAAGGAAAGGCAGCAGGAATGAGTATGTAAAGCAGGAAATCACAATTTCAGGAAGATGAGTGCTGCCTGGCTAAGGCCACACTGAAAACATTGCCCCAGAATTCTTAAGAGTAGCAGGTCTAAGGAAGAAAAAAATTTTAAAAAAGCATTATTGCAGCACAGATTTCTACCATTCTACCAAGAAAATGGCAGGGCAGGGTTTAGAAATGATCAGACTTGACTGCTGTTTCTCCAATTTCCCATAAAATTCCTGAGATCAAAATTACCAGGAAAAAAAACCAGGGAAATGGACAGAAGGGTTAAATACAACATATTTTCCTACAGTTAACTGTGCCCTATGGAAAAACACAAGATATGACTACCTGGGCTATTGTAAAGCCTCATCTAGGAGCATGCATGGAAATTTTTGAACTAGATAAGCTGAAAAGGGCACAGAGCTTTTCTTTTTTTTTCCTAAAAAAGATGGCTAAAGAGATATCAGGTTGGAAATAAATGAGTAAGAGTTTTTCAAGGACAAGACTTGAGACCAATCTTGTTTAATATCTGTATCAGTGGCCTTGGCACTGATGTCGAACCATAATGATTAAGTCTGTTGAAGAAGTTAAGAGGCACCATCAAATACAACAGAAAACTGATTTAAACAACCTTGGAGATGAGTTAGCAATGAAAGCAAGATTCAATGAAGAACAAGGTGGTGTTGATCACAAGCAAAACCCATCAATTTAGCAGCCATAAAAAAGGTTACCACAATCTAAAGATTGATCAGATAAATACTTCTGTGAGGGCAAGGGTGAAGTAATGACATTGGGGAAATTGCTATCCAGAACATTGTGAACAATTCTGGTCATAGACATCTAAAACATGTATTTATTATCAACATTGTGCAGTTCATCTAGCAAGAAGAGAAACTTCACTCATTTCCCTCTTAAGCAAAAAAAAAAAAAGTTTAAAATACCTTGAAGATATTCCTATAAAACTAGCTTAATTCTTCCCTTCTAAGGAATGACACTCATTCTAGGTAATCAGGACCAATGGCCACATCCTGAAAAATATTTATGGTCCGAATTGACTGAATGACATCAATTCCATGAGAGTTAAAGGAAACTAGCACTCGAATCTTTCCAAATTCAGCCAAAGATTTTACACTGTTCCTTTTACGTGTTGAAATTTCAAATAAAAATAATGAACCAGAGTTCATTCAGCACAGTAATGTGCACGTAGAAGAAAATGTACTTCAGTTTTTGCAGTGTGTCACACGATATCTTATCTCCAAGTTCTATACCAATAATAATAGCAAAGAAACACTAACCAAGTACTTGCATGTCCCATTTTAATTTTCAGTAGAAAGAGGAGGGAACTTAAAAGGAAAGCAATTAACCAAAAGCTTTCTCTACAAATCGGCACTGACTTTAACATCAGAAGACAATTGGAACTGTCAGTTTACAAAAAAAAAAAAATTTAAAAATCCCTCTCAACAGCTCTTGCAAAACCATGTCCCTCTGTTCTTCCTCGTGCTACTGAACTCTATACTAGCTCAGAAAAGAGAAATTCCCTTGAAGCACTGCAGTCAGCCACACAGCTTTCCATAAAAGTCCTTGCTGGTATCAGTAAACATTTACTTCACTAGACAGCTTTCGCAAGAAAAGGTCAGCAAGGTGTTTCTCCCTCTTTTAGTACTTCAAGGTTGCTATTAATAAAACAGCACCAAGAAACACCTTCTTGTAACAAGCAAACAGGGCTATAGCTCACCAAATCAGAACCACCATTAAGCCCAAATGGTTAATTACATTGCAATGGCATGCAGAAACTAATTATGGAGCTGACTTAGACACTATGAGGAGATACCAGAGAAAGCTTGTCTATACCACACACACTGAGTGAGACACATAAACTGTCTCTGAACAAATTTCTGAGCATCTTCCCAAAGCTGCGCAGCACTACAGACACCAGCAGAGCTCCTGGGAGACATATTGCTTTGGCTGAGAAAATACTGCATTTGGGCTACTTGCACCGTAATCAAGATGATATTTAGTTGTCATTCCTGACTTCCCCTTCAATATAGCCCTGCACTGTGCAGCATAGAGACACCAAGAGGAAGTCTTTCCAGCAATTTCCAGCAAGCTTTTTTAGTTGCTGTATATTGATCTCTTTTTTGAAAATGAAGGATTTAGCCAAGAATACTAGTAGCAAACTTTAACAGAATTCAGCTGGACAGGGACTTGTGAAAAATACAAATTCAGCAGAACATTTTCAAGAGAATCATTACTAAAAATTACAGTTCTCAATTTCTACTTTTTTCTACATCAGTGGCAATATCTCTAGCAAAATGTGCTCTGTGTTCACAGACTTAAGATGATTTTAATTCTTGGAGAACCTGCCCACCTACAGCAATTCATTGCCCTTTACACCCGTTACACTTTACCTCTCTGCCAGTTAGGATGTGTCTTGCCAGTTTCACTTTTGCAAAATTCCCCTTTCCAATGGTTTTAAGCAGTCTGTAATTTCCAATGTGCGGCTGCTCATCCGCACAGGAGGCTATGGAGTTCCTGCAGCGAGCTCCAGAGCGCCCAGTTCGGGAGGAAACTTCCTGCCGTCCGTCTCCATGGGACGTGTGCTGCAACAAAAACACACACAGGTAATCAGGCTGAGAAATACAGACCAAACACACCACTGATGACAAGCACACAACATTCAAAAGCATTAGCAAGGCCTTTGGAGAAATTCTCAAATGATCCTGCTCAAACTTTAGATTCACACTGAACTTTGCCCTGATGGGGCCAATAAAGAGGTTCCCAGTTGGTAACACAATATCCATTTCATCACCTGGTAAAAACCAAGTGGAGCATCACCCCAACTGCAGCAGCAGTTGAGCACTTTTAGGAACTTACATGTGCCACATCAGTTATGAAACATGGAGGTGTTTGATATTATTTCCCATTTGCAATACTGTCCTAACTAGTGCAGGAAAGCCTTTGGAGAGGAAGCACAAAAGAAAAGCTTTACCAAGAAGAGCACAAAATGTTAACCCTTACTGGATAACTTAATACTACTGGAAATCTAATAAAAGGGGTTTTTTCCCCTCTTGTACTGTACTTTTGTTCCTACAAAACCACGACTGAAAATACCCAGGACAGCCTGTAGAACGACGAAAGAAATCTTGCCTAAAGTACAAAAATCTCAGACACTGACAGGCTGAGAACCAGTTACAGAGATCTGAGACACTGTCTGCAATCTGTTAAGTTCCTTTCACTCAGTTTCCCAGTACAGCTATTAATTGCAAAAATAAATGGGTATATATCATAACTATAATAATCTTTATTCATTAAATCACAGGGTTAAGATTAAAGTATTTTTTTATTTCCTCACAGCCTGTTTATGAAAGAGCAGGTCTCCTTATGTTCTTAAATCATGGTTGAGGCCTATATACCAACTTCACTAATTAAAGTACTAGAAATACCCAGCATCCTGCAAACGTGGAACAAATATCTGGCTCTACCACAGATGATGCAATAAATTCACAGTCAACCCAGAAACCCCAGATCTTACTCTTCTACTACTCCTCCTCTTGCTGAAACCCAATGGGGACAACCAAGGAACTGGCATACAGAAACATTTAGTCTGAAAATCATTGTAGCATGAAGATGAGATCATACCTCAAGAGCTAACAACCACGGTACAGGCACAAATGAACAAATCCGTGCTTGCATGACACTTGGCAAGTTCACACTCTATTTAATAACCTGATTTAACCCTGTGACCATATACTCTGGCATCTTAGGTTCCCTGGTTTGTTAACTTGAGTGCAACAGCTGTGATCAAATTACTTTTAAAAACACATTCATTTCATCTAAGAAGTACTACTGATGGAAGTCTATGGCAACTCCTGGAAGACTACTAAAATAGTTACTGTTTCAAAAAACACACAAACTGTGGTGCATATAATGTCTTACTAATCAATCTGGCTTTAGCTTCTCCTTACTGCCCCGGCTAGTGCACTGCCACCAGATTTGTATCTCCCATATAGGTACTTATTTTCTATGACTACAATACCCCTTCACTTTAATAAATGATAGGCACATTGAGCTCCCTAAACATGCTGCTGTAAGAATGATTAAAGACAAGGAAACATTTCCTGTACTTTCGTTCAGAACTCTCTACTATTTACCAAACATCTTTTTGTGGGGCTTACGCTAGAGATGGACATGCCATACCAACAGTAGGTGCAGTAGGACTAAACCCAGAGACTGCACCTTCTGTTCAACACCCCACTGATTTTACATGGGTAGAACTAACCCTCCTGGCAGAAAACCATCTGTAACTGACCACCCAACAGTGACCCTAACTCTTCAGGAGTTATTGCTTCTCTTTCCTTTACCGTATCGTGACTTTCACTCCTGGATCCTTACATGCATGACTGCACATTTGGCTGAAGTGAAACGCAGAGTTTCCTTTCATGCAGGATATTAAATGTTCCTGATGATTTGCCCATCCTGCCTGTTTCATATTCTAGCAATCTGTATCCTAGTTTTCAGGAGCAAGAGTAAACATTCCTTCCCAACCACTAGTAACTGGCACAAGAACAAGAAGCACATCTGTAACAATATCCAGTAAAAATTTAAGTCTTGATAACAATTCAATGTTCTCAATAATATTTTGAGACCGACAACAATTGGGTGCTTACGAATCAGTAGTTCTCAAGGAGAGGAAGAACAAGAGCAGTCACCAGCTGAAGGAACTACTAAAGCCAGTGAAATCCTGTACGAACAATTTCAGTATTTTGCATGTCCTTAATGTCAGGCTGGTGCTGGTTGTTCAGGCCATCTTAGTAACTCCTGAGTGTATTGGCAATGCCATATCAATTCCCTACGCTTCCCTAAACTTTGACTTCTAACAAACCTTGCAATACACATTGCAGAGAACTTCTTTGTCAGCTCCTTTCATACCTTCTAGTATCAAATTATTCAGATCAGGTAGAAAAAAAGCAGCAACTGCTGATGCGAGATGCCAACATCCTCCTGCATTGCTACCTGCCGTGCTCATGGACCAGGATGTTCCCTACAGGGCCACAAGGCTATTTCTTGGATATATTAGAGGCTCATTCAGTTCAAGTACAGCATCCCAGGAATACAACTGCACTTCTTACTCTGAACTACACTGAGTTGATAACTCCTTGGGAAAAGAAGTGCATCAGAACTATTCAGATTAAAGCCCTTCCACACCCAGGTGCTTGCACAGGTGAAGGAGCTGGCTTCAGCAGGAGCCAGCCTGCCTCCCAGCAGGGCTTGTTAGCTTAGGCTCTCCAGTAGACAGGTTCAACAAACAGGTTGCTTTTGAACCACACAACTCACTCTGAAAACAGAGTATCTGCACTGCCTTATGCTTGGACTGATACACCGTGTTAGTCCTGAGCTAGCCTGTGAGGTTGTTGAGATGTGGGCATCAGGTACCACGTATTCAAGTTATTCATAACTGATCTTACTCATATCCTACTGAATATAAACAGTATCAGGCAAAAGACAAATTGTTATACTAACAAACTGTGTTCCACATAGTGAACCACCCCGTTAATACATCTTGAGAGCTTCACTGTCCTCTGTTGAGAAATGACTTCTTGTAACCTATCATTTTTCTTCTCCATGCTTCCTAGCTTTGCACTTAAAGGGCAGAATTGACAGTTGTGAACTCATTTGGGCTAGCTCTGACAAATTGAGCACAATCTCCTTGTATGGAGGTTTGCATTTCCACCCTAACCCAGATTAATTCTTTTCAAGAATATGACCTTTTTGAGCTGTGGTTTTTGAGTATCAAGCTGTGCGTTCCCAAGCAGTTCAGTTCTCTCCAACTGACTTGCTCATGACTGTGTTTCACTCTGTAGAAATCCAGCCATTTGTAACCATATCTCATTTGGACTTTATTTCACTTCACATAAATAAATCTATCAGCAAGTCCTTCTTCTGTCAGATACATTATTATATTGAACAGAATCCCAAGCTTTCTAAAAAACATAGAAAACAGATTCTCCATTTCAACACAGATTTTCTTTTGCATATGGAAATGAAGGAAGAAGAACATAAACTCAAAACTGAGTGGAAGTGTTTCTCCCAACCAAATAATTTTCAAGAAGCTGTGATAGGTAGATGGGAAGCTAAATGGTGTAGGCACAAAGCAAATACAGGTGGGTCCAGGAAAACTTTAAATCACACACTGGCTTGCATAGCACCTGGCTGTACTGGGGTATTTCCCCGGATAGTTTCCTCAGCAAACAGATTAACAGTGGCACTCACAGCCAGGAGAAACAGTAATAGCATCCTCTGCTCTTCAAGTTGAGATGCAGGTCATTTGTCTTTTCCCAGGTAGACCCTCAACTCTCTTGATTTTGCCTCCCTCACCACGCTGATTCCCAAAAACTCTGTTCAATTTCACACCTCTTTCCCAGGTTCACATTTTTAAGGCTTCGAGAAGATGTGGGGTTTGTCTTAAAAACGTAATATTCAAAATGAGCACATGTTTATTTGTAATAAGTTTCCATACATTGTGGTAGGTGAGCTGTATCTCCTGGAGGTGTGTTCTGCATAAGAATAACACTCATTGATGACACTCACCATGGTTGAGTGATTCCCAAAATATCTGTCTTTACAGAAAGCAAGACCATTATGCTGTAGTTGGGGGATTGAATCAAGGAGACTGGGTACTTCGTGTGACTTCAGGTTAGCCAGTCACAGCCTCTTTTAAAAGGTCCACTGAAATCCACACACAACAAGAATGCCCTTTCTTCCACATTTTGGCGTGCATCAGGTTTCATTTCAAGGTCTTTTAAATACCTTAAAGGGTTGGCTGTTGTTTTTTTTTTCACTATCCATTTTCAAGCCAAGAAGACAACCTTTCTCATAAAAACAAAACATTCTCCTCCCCGCCTCCCAGCTCCACCCTGTTATTACTCAACCCAGAAGGAAATGGGAGTAGAACATCTCCATTTGTGGGAGCCCTTACTGCAAGGGAGGGATTGAACCTAAGACCAACTACATTTGGAACACAACACAAAACCCACCTTTTCGCAAAAGCCTTCCCCCAGTGATGAGCCGACATCCTTTCATAGCCAGAAAATGATTAGCATGAGGAGAAAGAAAAAGAAAAGGAAAAAAAGTAAAAAAGCAAATGAAGTATGAAGGTGTTGACAACTGAAATCTTTTCGGTAGGTGTTAGTCTTATCCTGTATCTTTATGATTTCAGGTATCTTGTCATTCAGAGCATTAGAAACACAAAGGGCAGAGGATGACTAGTATCAAGGTTCTTGAACTGCTTAAGAAGATGCCAACAGTTGAGAAAATCCTGAAAGAGACAGAATCTGATATCCATTTGAAGAGCTGAAAAACAGTAAGAAATCAGAATATCCAAGACCTGAAAAAATCCATGTTTATTTACAGAAAGTAGGAAACACTTTCTAAAACAGGAAGGACAAATGGCATCAACTTTTTTTTTTTAAAGCATTTTTAATACAATAGGGAAAACTACTTTCTCATCGGCCAAAATGAACTAATAAAGTTTAATCTTACAAAAATATCTAGGAATGTTTATTACCTTAGCTGTTACCTCATCTCTGTATGAAATACTGCAAAGTGATATTATAAAATTTCTTGGAAAGCTGTCAGACTAGTAACAATCATGACAGCCTCACTCAATTCAGCATTTTTAATTATAGTAAGAAAAAAACTGTACTTAAAAATCTATACCTCACAGTGTTAATAATATAAGCATTCCAGGACGCAATGAACATTTGAGACACTAAACTGCTTCATTACCTTAACCTGGGCACACAGTATATAAATACATGGTAATTTCTGGCTGTGCACTCCCCAACTGCACTCTTATTTGTAGAAAAACTTATCAGGAAAACATACCATAGTTTTTTAAAAATTAAAAAATATTTTAAATTAAACATGCAAAGACAAAATTCACTACAGCCCTTCCTAACAATGTGCTGAATTTACTTCCCATTTATCATTAAAGTCTTTAAAGAACACACAGACTGCTGAGTACTACTAATTGTAAGAGAAAAAAGGTAGCCCTAAGGATATTCACAGAGGTAGCGTCTTATTGAGCAGAGATATCCCTGAAACAGAACAGCAGGGCATCCTGTGACTGCTGACGAAGGAATTCTACTGGAAAGTCAAAACAGAGACTTACATTTCTGGCAACCACCAAGAGGTGTCACAGCAAACACTCAACCACAATTGTTTATACACCAGTTACTGCTCTGGGAATCCCTAAGTCAACCTATACTATAAAATACTGCGTTATTTTCCTAGAAGATAAAACAGGAACACATAAGGGGAAGATGGCCTGTACTTGTCCTGATTTTACTTCCCTCCTACCACTGACCAGGGCACAAATTAGGACATGGAGCAAGGAGGATTTTGTCAGACCTAGTATGCAGATGTTGATGTCTGCATACCCAATTATTTGGTTCCAGCACATATAATTAAAAGGTAGTTTTTAGACTAACTTGCTACATCTTCAGGGTAAACAGTCATGGCTTCCATCTCACAAAATTTGAAATGCTCTCCCACAAGGAAAAATGCTACCCAGTGTGGCACTAAAGTTATCAATCCATGAGGGCAGACCTAATCACTGAAGTGGGCTACAGCCCTACCATTATGGATGCTGTGATCAAGTGGAACAACTGAAAGGGTCAGAATTCAGCAAGGGAGACAACACAAATATAACATAGGTGTTAAGGGAGAGAAAACAGTAATTTGGATGTTCCACTGTCAAAAGGGGAAGGTTTTATTGTGCCTGTCAGTATTAATTCATGTAACTGGTATGACACTTCATGAAAACGAGTGGCTAGTTTAATTAGGTTTTATCTGTCAAACAGCCAGTTTAAAGGAAGAACCTGAAGAGTAAATAGTCTTTAGCACACATAAGCTATACCTTTTTGACACACATTCCTAATTCTTCCAAACCTCAGTGGGGAAGGCGAAATAAAGGAAAAAATCAGGACACAACAGCTGCAGGTCAAACCGAGCAGCCTGATGAAGAGGGACAGTACAGACACAGGACACTTTCACCTGGCAGAGTATAGACCCAGGACACTTTCACCTGGCAGAGGGAGTATTGCTACCCAAAGGAACACTCACTCACAATTCCAGCCGCTGACCAGTGGCAGAACTGCAGTGGGAATTGCTAGTGACAAGTGCACCACTGCCCCGAAGATCAGAGTCAGGCAGTGCCAACAGCCAAGCATTAAGCCTTGAGTGAAGGAAGGATGCTTCCCTTTGCAGACAAAGAGGGTCCTTTCCATGTAAAACCACTACAGACTCTGTGATATGCTTGACATCGTTTGGTTCATACTCTATACAGCATATGAAAGAGAGTGAATCTGTAATGCCATGATTAGCACTGAACAACACAACAGTGAAGAAATCCTGCTTATATAATCAAAAAGATAAGTCTGGTGCTGGTTAGAAAAGCTCTTTAAAAGCTCTTCTGTTGCTTCACATTATCAAGATCTGACATTCATCATATCTTTCCAGCCAAAAGTTTCTTTACTGATGATTAAAATGGATATTTATTGACATCAGCCTGGGGAATAATAGCTGAAGAGCCAACCATATTCTGTTCTTCATCAACAATACTGCCAACTGAGTTGTTTCCAGAATCATCACTGTCGGTAAATACATCCTAAACAAAAAAAAAAAAAAAGCACCAAAACCTCACAGTTTGTTTTCAAAGACTATATTGAGCTTGCAGACAGAAAACTTTGTTTAGGTTTTAACCCTGAAGGAACAAATTTTATTTGAAAGTCAATTCTGTTTATATGTATATATATATATAACACACACAGAGCTCAACAACCTGCTGCTTTAAGGGCCAAAAATTTGTCTTAACCCGAGGGTTTCATCCAGGAGACTGACTGGAGCATTACCACAGGTACAATCACTATATTTCAGGTTTATATTCTAAGAGCAGTAAGCACCTATTTATCATATGTTCTAGAGATTTTTAGTGGCAGATGATCTCCACACTAAGAAGAGCCAACCATGATAAGCCATGAGCCTAAAAAAAAAAAGGTGACCTCCATTTTTGATCTGGCTGACATCCATGAGGCAGCATTACTTGACTGAGAAGCGGAAGTTGCAGACACATGCTACTTATATATCATATGAAATGGAGATCTGGGGAGACAAATGCCTCCACTCTTAGAATTCCTTTGACTTGAGTCACCTGAGACATGTTGTCAACAGGAACTGTCCGCTTACATCAACAGGAATATGTCTCCTGACTGGAACTAAAATGGAGAATTGAGCAGGTAAGGATACCAGGTGAGTGGGTACAACTCACCTGTTTCCTTTTGTTTATCTTCTTTAAATAATTTCTGTAGTTGTGTTCTGTTTTTCAGACTGCTACTTCTAAGGCCACCATAAAAGTCACATTCAGTGGTGCTAATGAACTAAGCCTGACTTTTTAACAACCTCTGGAGAGAGGTCTTGCAGCCTAGCTATTCTGAATTACTGAAATAATGGGCAAAAGGGAAGAGAAAAAAAAAAAAGATTTTTCCAGGAGCAGAGCACCACAACTGGTGAAAGATGCATCATTGTACTTCTATATCTGCCTGTAGTTGTAGAACAGCACTCTAGGGCTAAGGTAACTCGGGTTGTGCCACAACTGCCTTAATTTAAACCAAAACAAAAACAGTAAGAAGCATTTCTAACCCTCCCCCACTTGAGCTGGACACTCCCATTCTCCTCTGTGTCAGTTATCTGAAGCCACACAGAATGGGGATAAACCCACCTTTTCTTAAGGGTTTATTTCAGTCAGATCCGAGCTGACCAGACCCGTCACGCAGCCCCACAGTAATTAGTGCCGGCACAAACCGCGGGTGGGAAGAGGCAGCTGAGGCTGATGCCCCCAGCAGCCTCCCATCAGTTCGAGCTGACTGAAACCAAGCGATTAAACACCTCAGCACAGGCTGTTTAGCACAGCTGAAGAACGAAACTTCCCACTTTAAAATGTGAAAATACCAGCAGCCAGTGACTCGCAATGTCATGCAACCCCACCAGGTATTTTTTGAGTACAAACACAGTACCAGGCCTACCAGGCACTCCAGGCAGTAAGAAATGCACCCAAAAAAAGCACTTTCCTTGTCTGTGAAAGGTTGGAACTTAAAAAAAAACACATCCCAGTTGAATTCCTAGAATATTTTTTGTTTCTAGTTATTTTGCCACCTTCACCTGATTTAATTCAAACCAGAACATTTATTAGAACTGGTGAAAAATATGGAAGAATGCACATGGTCCTGTAGAAGAAAATCTATCAGAACTTTTGGCCACAGAAACACTTCCCTTCTCAGCCCCTTCTTTTAAAAAAACACAGGATTTCATGCTGCGGAAGAAAGCATTCTGATTACAGATCTATTTGTAATAGGAGAAGACTGATAAATAATATATAGAACAATGCAAGCTTGCATATTGTCTGCAAATGCTCTAATGTACTTCATAGTTAATTGGTAATAAACCAAGACATACTGCACTAACCTTCATAGTATCCTAAAATTGCATTTTTGTACCTAACGCCGCCTTTACTAAACCTTTTTAAATTTAAAAAAAAAAAAAAGAGAAGGTGATACTTCTGTTGCACAGAATCCTTTTGTATAGTCTTGTGCAAGCACAGTTGCCATCATGCTGGCATTTTTCAATAGCAAATTTTTCACATTAGGCACAGTCATGGAGATAAGAGTATATTTTAGTCTTGCTTTTCCCTAAATTACCTAAATTTTTAATTCAGATTGGCCTGCAGAATTAACACATTCAAAACAGTTACCTTTTCTGCCCCCAAAAAAACACAGCTGTGCAATGAACATGAAGGTTTTAATTAAACAGTTTAGTCCAAGATTTTTCTTTTCTATTTCACACTCCTGAAAAAAAAAAATCTTCCAGCCTCCATAGAACCTGTATTTCCTTGTTTCTATCTATAGTTTGCTATCATCTTCCCACTCCCTGAATATTTTTTTTAATGAATAGTTGTCCTACTCCTCACAATCTTGCTCCTTCTGCTCCTATTTCTTTGTCACTGGTTGTTCTCCATCCTGCCACATGCACATTCCTCTGTGCCTCTTCTTATCTTTTGTTTTCCACCATCTATTTTCCTTTCCCTTTGTGTTTCCACACTTCTCCTCCATCTTCTCTCCCTTCCTTCTCATCACTAGTAGAACAGGTTTACTCATTCTTCTGTCATCTAAAGTCCTTCTTCTGCATCTACCCTGTCTCCCAGATTTAGATGGAGGTCTCTGCTCTCTCTCTCTCTCTCTCATGCTTTTTCTCTCACATGCAGGACATATTTCTGAGGAGGACAGAAAAGATCTAATCCTCTCATGCACTTCTGCACCTCCTAAGCAGCTGGCAGCCACTGCCGCACAAGACATGGCCAGAGAGGAGCTGCTCTATCTCTGCAGTGAGAAGCCAGCTCATCGCAGGCCAACAGCCAGCTTCCAACTGTCCAAGTGTGAAGTTCCTATGATCACAGATCATCTGGGATGCCTTTCCTCTCAAAACCAGGTGACTTGGAGCCAAACTCTTTAATCTCAAAGGCACCAAAGCCTTGATAGCTCTGAGTAGCTTTTGGGGAAAGTCACTGTGACAGTATTTCCACTTCAGCAGTACATGTCTTGATAAAAACCC